ATTAGTTTGTTCCCTAACTGACAGGGAAAATGAGTTTGTTCCTTACTTTTGACAGGGAAAATTAGTTTGTCTTTTCACTTTGGACAGGGAAAATTAGTTTGTCTTTTAACTCTGGACAGGGAAAATTAGTTTGTCTTGTAATTTTTGACAGAGAAAATTAGTTTGTTCCTTACTTTTGACAGGGAAAATTAGTTTTGTCCTTACTTTTGACAGGGAAAATTAGTTTGTCTTTTAACTCTGGACAGGGAAAATTAGTTTGTCTTGTAATTTTCGACAGAGAAAATTAGTTTGTCCTTTAACTTTTGACAGGGAAAAAAATTAGTTTGTCTTTTAACTTGTCTTTTACTTTTGACAGGGAAAATTAGTTTGTCTTTTAACTTTTGACAGGGAAAATTAGTTTGTCTTTTAACTTTTGACAGGGAAAATTAGTTTGTCTTTTTAACTTTTGACAGGGAAAATTAGTTTGTCTTTTTAGTTTGTCTTTTAACTTTTGACAGGGAAAATTAGTTTGTCTTTTAACTTTTGACAGGGAAAATTAGTTTGTCTTTTAACTTTTGACAGGGAAAATTAGTTTGTCTTTTAACTTTGGACAGGGAAAATTAGTTTGTCTTTTAACTTTTGACAGGGAAAATTAGTTTGTCTTTTAACTTTGGACAGGGAAAATTAGTTTGTCTTTTAACTTTTGACAGGGAAAATTAGTTTGTCCTTTAACTTTTGACAGGGAAAATTAGTTTGTCTTTTAACTTTTGACAGGGAAAATTAGTTTGTCTTTTAACTTTTGACAGGGACAATTAATTTGTCCTTTAACTTTTGACAGGAAAAATTAGTTTGTCCTTTAACTTTTGACACGGATAATTAGTTTGTCTTTTAACTTTTGACAGGGAAAATTAGTTTGTTCCTTAACTTTTGACAGGGAAAATTAGTTTGTTCCTTAACTTTTGACAGGGAAAATTAGTTTGTTCCTTACTTTTGACAGGGAAAATTAGTTTGTCTTTTAACTTTGGACAGGGAAAATTAGTTTGTTCCTTAACTTTTGACAGGGAAAATTAGTTTGTCCTTTAACTTTTGACAGGAAAATTAGTTTGTCTTTTAGTTTGTCTTTTAACTTTTGACAGGGAAAATTAGTTTGTCTTTTAACTTTTGACAGACAGGAAAATTAGTTTGTCTTTTAACTTTGGACAGGGAAAATTTATTTGTCCTTTAACTTTTGACAGGGAAAATTAGTTTGTCCTTTAACTTTTGACAGGGAAAATTAGTTTGTTCCTTACTTGTGACAGGGAAAATTAGTTTTGTCCTTACTTAGGACAGGGAAAATTAGTTTGTCTTTTAACTTTGGACAGGGAAAATTAGTTTGTCTTTTAACTTTGTTCAGGGACAATCAATTTGTCCTTTAACTTTTGACAGGGAAAATTACTTTGTTCCTTAACTTTTGACAGGAAAAATTACTTTGTTCCTTACTTTTGACAGGGAAAATTAGTTTTGTCCTTATTTTTGATAAGGAAAATTAGTTTGTCTTTTAACTTTGGACAGGGAAAATTAATTTGTCCTTTAACTTTTGACAGAGAAAATTAGTTTGTCTTTTAACTTTTGACAGGGAAAACTAGTTTGTTCCTTACTTTTGACAGGGAAAATTAGTTTGTCTTTTAACTCTGGACAGGGAAAATTAGTTTGTCTTTTAACTTTTGACAGGGAAAATTAGTTTGTCTTTTAACTCTGGACACGGAAAATTAGTTTGCTTTTAATTTTTGACAGGGAAAATTAGTTTGTTCCTTACTTTTGACAGGGAAAATTAGTTTGTCTTTTAACATTGGACAGGGAAAATTAGTTTGTCTTTTAACTTTTGACAGGGAAAATTAGTTTGTCTTTTAACTTTGGACAGGGAAAATTAGTTTGTCCTTTAACTTTTGACAGGGAAAATTAGTTTGTCCTTTACTTTTGACAGGGAAAATTAGTTTGTGTTTTAACTTTTGACAGGGAAAATTAGTTTTGTCCTTACTTAGGACAGGGAAAATTAGTTTGTCTTTTAACTTTGGACAGGGAAAATTAGTTTGTCTTTTAACTTTTGACAGGGAAAATTAGTTTGTCCTTTAACTTTTGACAGGGAAAATTAGTTTGTCCTTTAACTTTGGAAAGGGAAAATTAGTTTGTCTTTTAACTTTTGACAGGGAAAATTAATTTGTCTTTTAACTTTGGACAGGGAAAATTAGTTTGTCTTTTAACTTTGGACAGGGAAAATTAATTTGTCCTTTAACTTTTGACAGGGAAAATTAGTTTGTCCTTTAACTTTTGACAGGGAAAATTAGTTTGTCTTTTAACTTTTGACAGGGAAAATTAGTTTGTCTTTTAACTCTGGACAGGGAAAATTAGTTTGTCTTGTAATTTTTGACAGAGAAAATTAGTTTGTCCTTTAACTTTTGACACGGAAAATTAGTTTGTCTTTTAACTTTTGACAGGGAAAATTAGTTTGTTCCTTAACTTTTGACAGGGAAAATTAGTTTGTTTCTTAACTTTTGACAGGGAAAATTAATTTGTCTTTGACAGGGAAAATGACTTTGTTCCTTACTTTTGACAGGGAAAATTAGTTTTGTCCTTACTTTTGACAAGGAAAATTAGTTTGTCTTTTCACTTTGGACAGGGAAAATTAGTTTGTCTTTTAACTCTGGACAGGGAAAATTAGTTTGCTTTTAATTTTTGACAGGGAAAATTAGTTTGTTCCTTACTTTTGACAGGGAAAATTAGTTTGTTTTAACTTTGACAAGGAAAATTAGTTTGTCCTTTTGACTTAGTTTGTCTTTTACTTTTGACAGGGAAAATTAGTTTTGTCCTTACTTAGGACAGGGAAAATTAGTTTGTCTTTTAACTTTGGACAGGGAAAATTAGTTTGTCTTTTAACTTTGGACAGGGAAAATTAGTTTGTCTTTTAAGTTTTGACAGAGAAAATTAGTTTGTTCCTTAACTTTTGACAGGGAAAATTAGTTTGTTCCTTAACTTTTGACAGGGAAAATTAGTTTGTCCTTTAACTTTGGACAGGGAAAATTAGTTTGTCTTTTAACTTTGGACAGGAAAAATTAGTTTGTCTTTTAACTTTGGACAGGGAAAATTAATTTGTCCTTTAACTTTGGACAGGGAAAATTAATTTGTCCTTTAACTTTTGGCAGGGAAAATTAGTTTGTTCCTTAACTTGTGACAGGGAAAATTAGTTTGTTCCTTTAATTAGTTTGTCTTTTAACTTTTGACAGAGAAAATTAGTTTGTCCTTTAACTTTTGACAGGGAAAATTAGTTTGTTCCTTACTTTTGACAGGGAAAATTAGTTTTGTCCTTACTTTTGACAAGGAAGATTAGTTTGTCTTTTAACTTTGGACAGGGAAAATTAGTTTGTCTTTTAACTTTGGACAGGGAAAATTAATTTGTCCTTTAACTTTTGACAGGGAAAATTAGTTTGTCCTTTAAATTTTGACTTAATTTGTCTTTAACTGACAGGGAAAATTAGTTTGTCTTTTAACTTTTGACAGGGAAAATTAGTTTGTTCCTTAACTTTTGACAGGGAAAATTAGTTTGTTCCTTACTTTGGACAGGGAAAATTAGTTTGTTCCTTACTTTGGACAGGGAAAATTAATTTGTCCTTTAACTTTTGACAGAGAAAATTAGTTTGTCCTTTAACTTTTGACAGGGAAAATTAGTTTTGTCCTTACTTTTGACAAGGAAAATTAGTTTGTCTTTTAACTTTGGACAGGGAAAATTAGTTTGTTCCCTAACTTTTGACAGGGAAAATTAGTTTGTATTTTAACTTTTGACAGGGAAAATTAGTTTGTTCCTTAACTTTTGACAGGTAAAATAAGTTTGGCTTTTAACTTTGAACAGGGAAAATTCATTTGTCCTTTAACTTTTGACACGGATAATTAGTTTGTCTTTTAACTTTTGACAGGGAAAATTAGTTTGTTCCTTAACTTTTGACAGGGAAAATTAGTTTTGTCCTTACTTAGGACAGGGAAAATTAGTTTGTCTTTTAACTTTGGACAGGGAAAATTAGTTTGTCTTTTAACTTTGGACAGGGAAAATTTATTTGTCCTTTAACTTTTGACAGAGAAAATTAGTTTGTCCTTTAACTTTTGACAGGGAAAATTAGTTTGTTCCTTACTTTTGACAGGGAAAATTAGTTTGTCTTTTAACTCTGGACAAGGAAAATTAGTTTGTCTTTTAACTTTTGACAAGGAAAATTAGTTTGTCTTTTAACTTTGGACAGGGAAAATTAGTTTGTCTTTTAACTTTGGACAGGGAAAATTAATTTGTCCTTTAACTTTTGACAGGGAAAATTAGTTTGTTCCTTACTTTTGACAGGGAAAATTAGTTTGTCTTTTAATTTTGGACAGGGAAAATTAATTTGTCCTTTAACTTTTGACAGGGAAAATTAGTTTTGTCCTTACTTTTGACAAGGAAAATTAGTTTGTCTTTTAACTTTGGACAGGGAAAATTAGTTTGTCTTTTAACTCTGGACAGGGAAAATTAGTTTGTCTTGTAATTTTTGACAGGGAAAATTAGTTTGTTCCTTAACTTTTGACAGGGAAAATTACTTTGTTCCTTACTTTTGACGGAAAATTAGTTTTGTCCTTACTTTTGACAAGAAAAATTAGTTTGTCTTTTAACTTTGGATAGGAAAAATTAGTTTGTCTTTTAACTTTGGACAGGGAAAATTAATTTGTCCTTTAACTTTGGACAGGGAAAATTAATTTGTCCTTTAACTTTTGACAGAGAAAATTAGTTTGTTCCTTACTTTGGACAGGGAAAATTAGTTTGTTCCTTAACTTTTGACAGGGAAAATCAGTTTGTCCTTTAACTTTTGACAGAGAAAATTAGTTTGTTCCTTAACTTTTGACAGAGAAAATTAGTTTGTCCTTACTTTGGACAGGGAAAATTAGTTTGTTCCTTACTTTGGACAGGGAAATATTTTGTACGTTATCGTTACTACTGGACGCTGAAACATTTTGTATGATATACTCACTTTGGACTAGCGAAAAGGTTACAAGTAGCCCACAGGCATTTCACCCCTGTTTGTTTCTGCAACTCTAAGGCTAAGTCTGTGATCTCGTCCAGATTTTGGTTTGTCTCGGCCAATGTGTCGCCCTCTGGTGCGATATCTCTGAAGCAAGCAGCAACAATTATATGGTCTCAATTAAGTATTGATACTGACTAAACATTTACTTTGTCACATTTTTCTTAAAGCAATGGCATCCTTGGTTGGTATTAGGTGCGATCTGTTTTATATATTTGTTGTCATAACTAAAGATAGTTAAAATGTACTACAGTTCAAAATTGAAAACAAGCTGCGTAACAGTCATCTATCCTATTCATCAAAAAATACCGTTTTATCAGTGTATTAGTAATTAGTGAAAAACATGTTTCACCTGTCATGGAATGTCCAATATTTAACGCCTAGTTTGACGAAGAACTCGAACGCTGCCCGCAAACGTCGCTTAGCGTTGGCCATAGAGTTTGATCCATCGTCCCAGGGCCGGATCAGGGTGGGGAAGCCGAAAGGGTCCGCACCTGCATTCACGTGATATCGATAGCTATTCAACCAGGGAAATCACGTGGAATACCACAACTAGAAAGCTGAACGCATTTTTGTATTAATGTTTAGCATTCCAGTTATTTTGCTTATGTTAGCAGCATTCAACATATTTTTGTTTTGTTATACTTCATGGCTTTCCTTATCTTGATCTAACGCATGCCGATCTCATCAAGGTTTCAGTTACCTGTGCCGCGGAATGTGTGCCAGAAACAGACCGAGAATCGGAGCCAGTCTTCCATGGTCCGGCCCATGACTACCTACATCCAAAAACACACGTACATACAAGTTTTAATGGAGACTGCGGTACAGCAATAAACACTCGATAGAAAAAATATGTTGTTCTACCCTGTCAGAATAAAAATCTGCCCAGGCAAAATAACAAACTACCTTGTCACAATTACAATTTGCCCAGGCAAAATAACAAACTACCTTGTCACAATTGCAATTTGCCCAGGCAAAATAACAAACTACCTTGTCACAATAACAATCTGCCCAGGCAAAATAATTGTACCTTGTCAGAATAACAATCTGCCCAGGCAAAATAATTGTACCTTGTCACAATAACAATCTGCCCAGGCAAAATAACAAACTACCTTGTCACAATAACAATCTGCCCAGGCAAAATAATTGTACCTTGTCACAATAACAATCTGCCCAGGCAAAATAATTGTACCTTGTCACAATAACAATCTGCCCAGGCAAAATAATTGTACCTTGTCACAATAACAATCTGCCCAGGCAAAATAACAAACCACCTTGTCACAATAACAATCTGCCCAGGCAAAATAATTGTACCTTGTCAGAATAACAATCTGCCCAGGCAAAATAATTGTACCTTGTCACAATAACAATCTGCCCAGGCAAAATAATTGTACCTTGTCACAATAACAATCTGCCCAGGCAAAATAACAAACTACCTTGTCACAATAACAATCTGCCCAGGCAAAATAACAAACTACCTTGTCACAATAACAATCTGCCCAGGCAAAATAATTGTACCTTGTCAGAATAACAATCTGCCCAGGCAAAATAACAAACTACCTTGTCACAATAACAATCTGCCCAGGCAAAATAACAAACTACCTTGTCACAATAACAATCTGCCCAGGCAAAATAATTGTACCTTGTCACAATAACAATCTGCCCAGGCAAAATAACAAACTACCTTGTCACAATAACAATCTGCCCAGGCAAAATAATTGTACCTTGTCACAATAACAATCTGGCCAGGCAAAATAATTGTACCTTGTCACAATAACAATCTGCCCAGGCAAAATAACAAACTACCTTGTCACAATAACAATCTGCCCAGGCAAAATAACAAACTACCTTGTCAGAATAACAATCTGCCCGAGCAAATTCAAAATCTGTTCAAACAAAATTACTTCAATGTATCTGGCTAGAATAATAAGAATTTGGCATTAGTTTTGTGCTGTTCGGAGGTATGGTAAGTATTCCCGTGTGATCTCCCATCATCAACGTTTATACCCAATTCTTATCATTCTGCTCGGCAGATTATTTATTTGTCTTGGTATTGTGTTACTCTGCCTGGGCAGATTGTTATTATGCTCGGGCAGAATAAAAATATTTTTTCTTTGTTGTCCCAAGTGCGTTCCCGTAGTAAACGAACATATTTTAGCGGTATTTTTTCAGTGCTTTTCGCAATGACATGATTTGGTTACAATATGATCGCGCTGATTTCTACGATGTTTATATAGTAACTCAGTGACTGATAAATGCGCTAATTTACCAAAAAATGAAAATGCGTTTAAATTTGACTTCGAAAAATCAAGGACATTTACAGTAATTAAAAGTAAAGTCGGACATAAAAACAGACACTACAATGTACCACAATACAACAATCGGTTGGACAATTAAAAAGTCGGACGACAATGCTTATGTTTGAGTCATCAGCATTTTATTTATATTAGCTTTCGGAGTTGGACAGACAACCGGACACTCCGACGGTAGACAGCCGGACACTTAGACGCTACACATACAATTAAACTGATTTCTATACCTGTTTGGGGTCGTAGTGTCTGAAGGCCATCGTATCATTTGCACCGCCACTAGGACGGAACGGTATCTTGTCGATTCCTGAAATGTAATCAAAACGAACTTTTTACGTGAATCCGGCAATGGGTTCTTTCCAGACATGCAATGGTGTATTAACACCAAATTTATTCGTGTTAATTCAGTGTGTGGTTTCTCTGTGAATGACCCGCCTACGAGCCGTATAGACAAGTTATCGCCAACTGTTGATAATTAATACGCCACGATGTCTGTACGATAGCCTCATGCCCCCTCCTCTCTCAAACCTAGATCACCAGGGCTAGCAACGTGTCCTCTAGTAATTTTGCGAGCTAAGACTAAACTCATGTAACCCGAGAAGTCAAATTGCCACACTTGTATTTAACATCGTTTGTAAACTTGTAAACATGGTGTTACGGAGTTCAAATCTTTGTGATATAGATGGGGAAACGGCTTGACCAACACAAAGCTTAGTTACATACGGGACTTCTTCCGGGGTCATGAAGAAAACGATACTGTTTATAACTAAATGTATCAATTGTGGCTTGTATCTGAGTTATGTGTTGGAAATCATTTTTGATTAACCATGCATTTTGGACAAGAATTTACAGTTTGATGCAGCAATTTATCATAATGTTTATAAATTAAAAACGTCAACGAACCTGCAAAAAAAACTGCATCCGAAGCATCGAAGCTAGCACAACTAGACCCTTCATCGGACGAGGAGGATGCAGGAGCGAACGACGACATAACTGCCTTCCTTGTTTAGGGGGTGTTTAGCTGTACGGAGACAAAGTTCACACACAGACTGGACAACTGATCCCTCGAGTACAGCGTGTTGTCGGCAAATATCTCGGCCTCGTACATGTGCACGATGTGTGAAGAGTTATTCGTTAGTAAGAACTGGGTCAGGAGTTTGTTATCAGAATATCGTTATCAGTAAGCACGAACACGCTGTAATCCCTCACTAGTATCAACACACTGGCGTGTGAATTACATGTCTTTCATTTATACTGCATGTTTATTTTTCGTTATTTTTTTTCAAAAACTGGGTTTCATAAAAAAACATATATTTGCAAACAAGTTATATGTATTTAGTTTGATGTTTGTGTTTGTACACGGTGTTCTCAACACTCTGCTGTCATTAGACAGGATCTGCGCGATAAGTTTTGAACATGCCCCGCCCGTCCTTCAGTACAAAAGATGCAGAAGTTTTCTCACACGTTCCCATTTGCTACTGCCTTGCGATGTGTTTTCTTCCTTTGAGACGGTAGTACGATGGTCAACGCGAACCGAAGTGAGGTTCGACACTACCTACACGTGTCGGATATATTAGATAAGAGACGGACCAATCAGCACTGTCGTATGTGGATAGGTTTTTGGCGAGACACTTTACCTTGGTTGCTCGGGTTGTATACGGCAGGTCTCCCGCATGTTGTTCGCCGAGGAAGCCACCAGCTGCCTGAAGTAGACTCCGTCTTAAATGACCCTGGCTATTGACGAGACAATAAACAACCTGCTACTACAAGGTTACACACATTGGATTATTTCTTTTTTACTTTTTCTGTTTGGAATTAAGAGTTTACGATTATTGCAAATTTCTGTCTGATTAAATACTTAAAATGCTGTCAATAAAACCAGCCCTAATGTTACAGCAGAAACTATATTAAAGATCGAGATCGGACGGTCAGAAGCTGAATCCATTCAGTTTCAGATCCCTAACGTTTACGGTAAAGGCGGTAAAAGCGGTATTCGACATTTCGCAATTATCAGATCGGACTCTAGAACCTCTAGAATATCAGATGATAAAAATAATAATGATAAGAAAATGTACCATTTCGAAGACTGATGTCAGAGTAGAAAACTGATTTCAAAGTTGTCAGTCACACGCACGCACTCATCTATAGATTTTTCTCTCATTAACTGGTGATTTTCATATTTAAAAAAAAATACGTTTAATTGTAACTATCAATTCATACATTTTTTAAAAATGAATTTACTTTTATATTAATCAACAATTTTAGAAAGGGCCAAGATGTACCATTAAACTCCTTTCCTCAGATTGTGACACGGATTTTTCGATCCTCTACGATCACTTGTACGCTCAATGGATACAGTGCACAACGTACCCGAGATTTACATAAAATATTTTTTTATATTTGACAATTCACTTGTATGTACTGTCGTTATTACTTCATTGATCATACATCTATTCCAGTATTACACATCTAACGAACATTTGTTTGTTAGGGCCCATTACCAATACTGGACCATACCGTCGATATTACTTACTTTAACATGGCAACTAAAATTCCAAAAACAATCACTAACGTTTTTAAGCCTTGCGGCCATCTTCCGGCGATTGGATATTTTGTTTTTATATCGATATGTACGATTCACAAATGTTTCCTTTATTTGAATTATACATATGACCACAACATGCGTTTTGGATATTTTTAAGTTTGTTCATAAAATATCGTTTATAAATAATGTAATATACACCGCCTTGTGTCTGATGTCATATCTCAGGTTACATACATTCTACTGCCAAAAAGGTAAACACACACACACACACACACACACACACACACACACACACACACACACTTGATAAAGAGTGTGAATACAAGACGTCGTACGGAAGATGTGATTTATTTATTAATATAACAAAAACAACATGATTGTCTTTGTATGTAATTAGTGCAAAATGCACCAAGTCACAAAGATAAGGAAATAAACTACAGCACGATGTAGTTAACAATCAATTCTAAAAATAATTCCAACTACAGGGTTCTAAATTCTACTAGTATGTAGAATACTTTAGACGCATGGTACATCGAGATACAACATACATGCTTTCAATACTGCACAAGGAATCCTATTCCTGACGTTGTTTAACACAAAGGCACAACCAGGAATAATTTTTTGAAGTTCCAATATCACTTCACCGTGACTTTGAATTCTGACCTATAAATACTAAATACTGGGATCTGATTTTCCTCGATCATGTTGCGGTTTATACAAAGAAATAACCTACTGACTTGATGCTTCTGCGTAAAATGCAACGGAGAATAAAAATTTAACACTTAACCAAACCAGAGCTACATGAGTAGTATGACTCACATCTTATCTTTTGGTCTATTTTCTTGGACACATCTTAGTAATAGTGTAATGAATTAACTGGTTCGTGCAGCTAAATAAAATGTATAGTATGTACAATGGTAACATTTCTACTTCCATTTCTATGTGTTGAGCACCATTACTTTATACACCTCAATTGTTGTGTAAATCTGAAATTCAAATCTAATTGTATTCCGTTTTACTATGACGAATCTAGAAGTTTACAGGCGGATAAGCTATCCTTGCGACAGTTTAGTATCGCAGTTAAGCATATATGAAATTGTTAAATGCTCCCAGCCTCAGTCTTGGTCAACAAGGAGTTGACTATGCCTCTTTTGAGTTAGCATTTGAAGTATGTCTGAATAACATTAATGTAATCTCCATCGCGGAATTTCATTTCCCTCTCCGATAGTTTTATCATAAAACAGACATAAAACTTCAGTGTGTCTCAGTCTATGTTATTGTCAAGGCTCTCCATGAGTATCTACTGCTTCTGAAAAAAAGAAAATAGTACAAATTTATCATTAAAAACGCCATTAAAAAACACGTACAAAATTGTAGAAATTTGAAAAAAAAAAATACTGGAGAATGTACCGTTACAGTACTTCTTACTTTGAATGTGGCTAGTAGTTATTACAATGTTTAACAAGGGCCGTCAGAGACGGATTACACTACCCGAATGGGGTATAATTTAAGTATGAAAAATAGCAAAGGGCAATAACTCTTATATTATGTAAAATAAAGTTATCGTTCTTGTACACTGCACTTCTCCTTATCTAGATCTATCTACCTATGAAGTTTCATGTTGATACCTCTTACAGTTTTAGTGTAATGCACCAGACAAAATTTAAGTACGAAAAATAAAAAAGGACAATAACTCCTAAATATGCAAAAGAGAATCGTGTTTCTTGTGCACTGAACTTCTCCTATTTAAGAGCTATCTAACTATGAAGTTTTATGTTGATACCTCTTACAGTTTCTGTGTTATGCTCCAGACAAAATTATAACGGACAGACAAACGGACGGACGGACAAAGCGACGACTATATGCTCTTCCTTCGGGGAGCATAAAAATAGGTTACCGATTTTCCTACCTCTTAGACACATTTCGCTTAACCATGGACGGAAACAAACCCGATCATGATCGAACTTAATTCAATATGTGTTAGAGTTGTTCTTTATATGTTTGTAATATTTTCTTATTTATTCAAGGTATAACAATTTCAAACTAATAACCGAATTCATATGCTCAATAAATCATAACCCAAACATTAACATTCTAGTGTTGATATCACATATAAAAATATTTCCTTTATCAAATCGACATTACAATGCTTGAGACACAGGGGCATTTTGTGAGTGATGAAGTGAAACATTCATGCACCGTAAAATAGAATATGAAGATTATTAAACACTATAACTTATTCATGAACAACGTAAAAATAAGAAAAACATGCAAAAAAGGGGGATTCACTACATTGAAAATAAGAAAGAGAAAGAAAATGAACGTAAATGAAATCAAACAGGTAACTATCAGGCAACCTACCTCTAAGGGATTCACAACTCTGTACAATAATTTCGTGAACATTGGTGGGGTCATCATCAGCGTTGTATCCAGAATCATTCGAAGTACTCATGTTGCTGATTTTTCTCGTTTTGGTTGCATCTGTTATAGTGTAATGGTTAATTAATGAAATTGATTAAGATCATTATCTCTTGTCTACACCAATATTTAAAGGTATATTATGTATGCAGCATGCCTCTATGTAATCAGTCCTATCTAATAATCTACTTACATTCATGCAAATGTAATACTACAAAAATCATTTTCAACTACAAAAATACAGACGAAAGAAGAACAAAACTAGGTTCTAACCTGGTAATTCAACAGGTGTAACCGCTACATTAGCCTTCACTAGACCAGCATCATTTGTTAGGTTGCTTTGCTCTTCCGAATACTTTACATCTAAATGTGACGAAGTTTGCTTTCCCGATTTTCTAATACTCTTTTGACTTTTAGAGAAGTTGCTTGTGCTTTCGTGCAGTTTCCCGTCCGATTCTTGTTTGTTGGATGGGAGGGCTCCATGTATCTTCTCATAATCATCACCCCTGGATACAAGCCACCATGTTTCCATCTCTCCCTTTCCCTGAAAAATATGTTTACGAAGTCTGATAATCAGAAAAAAAAAATCCAATTTACCATATCTGATTTGCGATTGTAGGGTTTATTGTGGACTTTTTAGTCAGTCATTATGACATATATATATATTTAAAATGACCAACTTAGATATTAGGTAACACTTTTCGATGTTCTTTCACTGTTAATTAATTGGGAAAACACATACTAATGCTCATAAAACCAATTGATTGTCTGAACATTGAAGCTGGCCTACGTACAGAACATGTATAATTACTTCCTGATGTTTTATTGAAGTCCCACATACCTTGACGGGAATTGTTCCTCGAAGTTGGAACGTGAAGCCTCCACATGCCTTCAGTGCTACGTAGGTCGTCTGACTGATATGGACCTTGTAAGCTGTAATTCACCGAATAAATTGGTTCATTAGTGATTTAATTCCTCTACCACTTGTTATTGACTGGAGTTATATGTGATTTCTATTTCAATAATTTCAAATTGATTTTCATTTATTTCAAATAAGCTAGATAATTGATTGAGTCCTTTGTTTGTTGTGTTTTAACTACGAAATACGATATGCCAATCATTTTGTCAATAAAATATGTAAACTCTCATGAAAATCGAATGCTATTCGAAAGGTAAACTAGAGGCCATTGTGTATAACTAGTTATTAAAGTAGAGGGTTAAAATAGAATTAAAAAAAACCAAATAACAAGATGTCAAGCCAATCCCTAATGCGCTTACGTGGGAGAAGTTGCACAAACATGTCATTGGATTGCCAAGTCGTTCGCTACATAAAAGTAATTTAAATCAATATTCCATCACTTCGCTGCTTCATGTATAGAGACATGTATTATCATTAAGTTTGCTGTATGGTTTATTGGTAGGAAATGAGGACAGACGATTTACCTTCACCATTCGATTCCATCCTGCTTGCCGTATTTACTGTATCGCCAAACAGGCAGTATCTAGGCATCTTTAGCCCAACTACTCCAGCACACGCAGGTCCTGTAAAACGAAAGGTTCACTGTTGAAGGAAATAGACAAACATTTCTAAAGGAAGCGATAAGGAGAAAAAAGACAAATCAATAGAAGATTACCAGATATCTGTACGTAATGTTATTGCCTCATGTCTTAGAACATTATTTTATATCATACAATTTCCACGTCAACCAACGGCAACTGTTGGCGGGAAATGTGGCACGGAAACTACAATGACAAATCTCGCGTTAAGGACTTTAATATCGGGAATTCTTTGCGGGTATCTTATTTTTGCGAATTCAGCGACCCTTTCAAAATAGCGTAAATCTCTAATCTAGTATGATTGGTCAGTCTCCAATTGATGTTAGAATCTACACTAATGTGCATTCTTAAGTACCCAAAGTCTTCAAAAGAGACCTTTCAAATTTCTGAGACCATGAAATCGACTAAACGTATTAATTGTGATTATATAATGACTAAACGTATTAATTGTGATTATATAATGACTACACGTATTAATTGTGATTATATAATGACTAAACGTATTAATTGTGATTATATAATGACTAAACGTATTAATTGTGGTTATCTAATGACTAAACGTATTAATTGTGGTTATCTAATGACTAAACGTATTAATTGTGGTTATCTAATGACTAAACGTATTAATTGTGATTATATAATGACTAAACGTATTAATTGTGGTTATATAATGACTAAACGTATTAATTGTGATTATATAATGACTAAACGTATTAATTGTGATTATATAATGACTAAACGTATTAATTGTGATTATATAATGACTACACGGATTAATTGTGATTATATAATGACTAAACGTATTAATTGTGATTATATAATGACTAAACGTATTAATTGTGGTTATATAATGACTAAACGTATTAATTGTGGTTATCTAATGACTAAACGTATTAATTGTGATTATATAATGACTAAACGTATTAATTGTGATTATATAATGACTAAACGTATTAATTGTGGTTATCTAATGACTAAACGTATTAATTGTGATTATATAATGACTAAACGTATCAATTGTGGTTATCTAATGACTAAACGTATTAATTGTGATTATATAATGACTAAACGTATTAATTGTGGTTATCTAATGACTAAACGTATTAATTGTGATTATATAATGACTAAACGTATTAATTGTGGTTATATAATGACTAAACGTATTAATTGTGGTTATCTAATGACTAAACGTATTAATTGTGATTATATAATGACTAAACGTATCAATTGTGGTTATCTAATGACTAAACGTATTAATTGTGGTTATATAATGACTAAACGTATCAATTGTGATTATATAATGACTAAACGTATTAATTGTGGTTATATAATGACTAAACGTATTAATTGTGATTATATAATGACTAAACGTATTAATTGTGGTTATCTAATGACTAAACGTATTAATTGTGATTATCTAATGACTAAACGTATTAATTGTGATTATCTAATGACTAAACGTATTAATTGTCATTATATAATGACTAAACGTATTAATTGTGGTTATCTAATGACTAAACGTATTAATTGTGGTTATATAATGACTAAACGTATTAATTGTGATTATATAATGACTAAACGTATTAATTGTGGTTATATAATGACTAAACGTACTAATTGTGGTTATCTAATGACTAAACGTATTAATTGTGATTATATAATGACTAAACGTATTAATTGTGATTATATAATGACTAAACGTATTAATTGTGATTATGACTAAACGTATATAATGACTAAACGTATTAATTGTGATTATATAATGACTAAACGTATTAATTGTGGTTATATAATGACTAAACGTATTAATTGTGGTTATCTAATGACTAAACGTATTAATTGTGATTATATAATGACTAAACGTATTAATTGTGATTATATAATGACTAAACGTATTAATTGTGGTTATCTAATGACTAAACGTATTAATTGTGATTATATAATGACTAATTGTGGTTATCTAATGACTAAACGTATTAATTGTGATTATATAATGATAAACGTATTAATTGTGGTTATCTAATGACTAAACGTATTAATTGTGATTATATAATGACTAAACGTATTAATTGTGGTTATCTAATGACTAAACGTATTAATTGTGGTTATCTAATGACTAAACGTATTAATTGTGATTATATAATGACTAAACGTATTAATTGTGGTTATTATATAAACGTATTAATTGTGATTATATAAACGTATTAATTGTGATTATATAATGACTAAACGTATTAATTGTGATTATATAATGACTAAACGTATTAATTGTGGTTATCTAATGACTAAACGTATTAATTGTGATTATATAATGACTAAACGTATTAATTGTGGTTATAATAATGACTAAACGTATTAATTGTGATTATATAATGACTAAACGTATTAATTGTGGTTATATAATGACTAAACGTATTAATTGTGATTATATAATGACTAAACGTATTAATTGTGATTATATAATGACTAAACGTATTAATTGTGATTATATAATGACTAAACGTATTAATTGTGGTTATATAATGACTAAACGTATTAATTGTGATTATATAATGACTATTAATTGTGATTATATAAAACGTATTAATTGTGACGTATTAATTGTGGTTATCTAATGACTAAACGTATTAATTGTGATTATATAATGACTAAACGTATTAATTGTGATTATATAATGACTAAACGTATTAATTGTGATTATATAATGACTAAACGTATTAATTGTGATTATATAATGACTAATTAATTGTGGTTATATAATGACGTATTAATTGTGGTTATCTAATGACTAAACGTATTAATTGTGATTATATAATGACTAAACGTATTAATTGTGATTATATAATGACTAAACGTATTAATTGTGATTATATAATGACTAAACGTATTAATTGTGGTTATCTAATGACTAAACGTATTAATTGTGATTATATAATGACTTGTGGTTATCTAATGACTAAACGTATTAATTGTGATTATATAATGACTAAACGTATTAATTGTGATTATATAATGACTAAACGTATCAATTGTGGTTATCTAATGACTAAACGTATTAATTGTGATTATATAATGACTAAACGTATTAATTGTGATTATATAATGACTAAACGTATTAATTGTGATTATATAATGACTAAACGTATTAATTGTGGTTATCTAATGACTAAACGTATTAATTGTGGTTATCTAATGACTAAACGTATTAATTGTGATTATATAATGACTAAACGTATTAATTGTGATTATATAATGACTAAACGTATTAATTGTGATTATATAATGACTAAACGTATTAATTGTGGTTATCTAATGACTAAACGTATTAATTGTGGTTATCTAATGACTAAACGTATTAATTGTGATTATCTAATGACTAAACGTATTAATTGTGATTATCTAATGACTAAACGTATTAATTGTGATTATATAATGACTAAACGTATTAATTGTGGTTATCTAATGACTAAACGTATTAATTGTGATTATCTAATGACTAAACGTATTAATTGTGATTATATAATGACTAAACGTATTAATTGTGATTATCTAATGACTAAACGTATTAATTGTGATTATATAATGACTAAACGTATTAATTGTGGTTATCTAATGACTTAACGTACTAATTGTGGTTATTTTGAAAATAATTTTTTAGTGAATCATACAAATTTAACCGTTTACCAAAGCGCATCTAAAACGTTCTAAGTTTGTTTTCATTTGTATGCAAACTTTATATCTGTATTACGATGCAATTCTATAAACATATCTTAACCGATACACAATGCGGAAATTAAGACGAAGATAAAGCGGCACAAGATACGAAAGTTCACACTACAATGATACGTCATCCTTTTTGTAAATAAACATTAACAATGATCAAGTAGAATCTAATTGTTTACGTTAAACATAGACGATTGTCTTTACTGTAAGTATACAACACCAGTCTAATATACAAATACCAAGGGAAATCATCTACGGCTGTGATATTGATTAAAAATGGATGAAATTAAAAAATACCGGGTGTACACATCATTTATTTGTTTGTACTGTAAATACAAATCTCCACCACAAACTGTAAACACAGTCGTGATTAGTGGCAGCACACGTGTACACCATTCACACTGACTAAAGCCTTCTGACAGAACACTTCAACAATGTTATTTTTATATCTTAAATCCTAATTGATCATTTGAAATAACGCGTAAATGACTGGTAGAATCAACATAAACCTATTTACCCTCAAAGGTGTTTTTTTTTATTTCTATCTCAAACAATGAGCATGCTTAGCGAATACACAACGAGTCTATTGGATTTGTATATCTGAGATATGCATACAAGTTAGCATGGCGAATTATATAAAGTAATACTGCAAGTATTATGGCAAATATAGTATTTTGAAATCTGAACACGACGGATTCGATATGCTTCATACGAAATCTGATTGTGATTATTATATTCGCATTTTGACCAAATCTACATTGATTTAAAATACTCAAGTCCGGAATAAAAAAAGTCAATGGTGAAAGTACAGGTGAATTATTAAAGCCAAAGTCAGGATCTTAATTGTTTTAACACCATAACATAGTCACCCCACAGGAACACCGAGGGAATCCTCAGAGAACAAGTGACCGACAAAAAAAATCACCAGTGGCGGGTCAAGGTCTTAAATCATATACTTAATCATTTAAAGTGTTGATTGACTAATAGCTTTTACCAGAATGTAATCCAACACGAATCTTGAGGGGTTCATTCGGACGATGAGGAATTTCGAACTCTTTGCATGCGGCAACTAAGTCTAGAGCCATATTGCTAACTTCTCGAGCATGAAATGTAGTTCGATTTGGTATTCCTGATACGACCATATCTGTAGAAGAATTATCAAAACATATCATGTCACCAATGTGAAATGTTAACATCATTTATTTTGATTCAACTAATAATTTCTTAGGTTATGTGAACGAATCCGCCAAGCTTTTCACAAATACAATCTGATATTACTTTCACACAAGTGGATAAACAATAAAAGCAGAAAATATGTATTATTAATTGAATTATTCCAACAGATGTGTCACACTTCATTAAGTCTGCATCAGAAGGCACCTACATGCATCTCCGATTGTTTCCACTTTATAGACATCGTACTTGTCGATGATTCCGTCGAAGGTGATGTAAAGGTGATTCAGCAGGGCCACCACCTGCATCGGCGTACTACCTCCTGATATACTAGTGAACCCCACGATATCGCTGAAGTAAATTGTGCATGCATCAAATTGTTCAGCGTTTATTGTCCGGCCGTACTTCAGGTCGTCCGCAACAGTCCTCGGCAACATACCTGACAGCATAAATATTACCTAAAATACGCGTTTTTCAAAATCACCGTGAAAAGAAAACGTTAGAAATAGCTCATAAGTATAACTTCAGCAAAGTACTCACCATGTCTACCTAATACGTATAATAACTTAAGGAGTAAGATGTATCATTTAAATACACTGTCACAAAGTTGTACCTACTGTATAACAGACGATCCGTTTTCTGTTTCTCTAACATCAGGTCTTGCGTGCGATCGGCCACGATGAGCTCCAAATGTTTGGAGTACTTCTCCATCTGATAAAAATTGAAACACATTATGAGATAAAACATTTTTATCATTTTCTTTTGTGTTTTTTGTAATCAATTCGAAAAGTTCATCAATAAAAACAAAAATCAACTCAGTTTAAATACATATTTCAAAAATCGTCTTTCAGTCTTTTAATCTATACTATAAATAAAGGAAAGATTTGCCTGGAGAACCAACCCAGAAAAAGTACAGATATCTTGTGTAGTTGTAACGCCGTTAGTGTTTTTTACACGGTACACGCATCTCCTACCTGTACTTTTTATCTTTTACACTGATTGTTAGTGTGTTAATATGGGAATTTTTCAATCTTGTTACTAACAGGTGAATATTTTTATTCTGAATCCATGAATATCACAACAAACCATGTACACACCATTGCCATCATTAAATCAACAGGACTCATCTTGTTAGGATTCATGAAGTGTAATGCTTTCTTGGCGTTCTCAAACGAAGGTCGTTTTAAAGGGTTGTCATCCCAGCAGTCCTTGATCAGCTACAAAATTATCAAAAATCCTTCTAACAACGACGTTCACGTAATTTCTTTCGCTATTCATACACAATTTCCATGCTAAAAATGTGATAAGTAAATTGATCGGACAGCTATCTTTAATGAATTCTGCAATCACCATTTTGATAAACATCACCATCAACACATCTTATGGTAGTATCTCTTACCTGGATATATTGAACTGGACATGGGCATGCACTATCAGCGTCTTCTGCACCTTCGCGGGAGAGATCGGGTAATGGTGGTTTCCATTGGTCACATAAGTCGAATGGATCTTCGTCCTACATAAATTCAACAATTTGCGAGGATATAATCTTGTAATGCTAAATTCTATATGTTGAAGTACAATCACCATCCATGTTCCTGGCATGTAAAATCAATACTATTTACATTCGTTTTAGAAATAAATATAAACAAACCTGATATGGATCATTTCTCGTCGCTATCTCTATAAGTATGATAGAATAGGCATAAACATCAATGGGAACGGAGGCTTCATAGTCAGTCGTGTCAAACACCTCTGGAGCTTTGTAAACACGTTCTCTCCTTGTTTTATAGTATTCATCGGCTTCCGTGTCATCATCGTCCTCCGCTAGAACCTTATCCTGTCTTCTGTACTGTTTCAATCCGTAATCTAGTGGATGTACACCAAACGTTATATTCACAATCCAACTAGGTACCAGGCCAGCTACAGTGTGTATCGAATACGATGATCAAGACTATGCTATAGTTTTCATTTTACATACGAATGTAAATGAATTTGATTATTAGAAAACAGTATCTAACAAGACATCAGTTACGTGATTTGATCTACAAGACATCAGTGTGTCTATAATATTTTTAACAAGACATCAGTGTACCGTGATTCTAACATTTTAGACATCAGTTACGTGTACTTTCTGAATGGTCAAGTACATCAGTTAGTACGTGATTCTAACAAGACATCAGTGTACGTGATTCTAACAAGACATCAGTGTATGTGTTCTAACAAGACATCAGTATACGTGATTCTAACAAGACATCAGTGTACGTGACATCAGTGTATTCTAACAAGACATCAGTATACGTGATTCTAACAAGACATCAGTGTACGTGATTCTAACAAGACATCAGTGTATGTGTTCTAACAAGACATCAGTGTACGTGATTCTAACAAGACATCAGTATACGTGATTCTAACAAGACATCAGTGTACGAGATTCTAACAAGACATCAGTGTATGTGTTCTAATAAGACATCAGTGTATGTGTTCTAACAAGACATCAGTGTACGAGATTCTAACAAGACATCAGTGTACGAGATTCTAACAAGACATCAGTGTACGTGATTCTAACAAGACATCAGTGTACGAGATTCTAACAAGACATCAGTGTAATTCTTATAAGACATCAGTGTACGTGATTCTAACAAGACATCAGTGTACGTGATTCTAACAAGACATCAGTGTACGTGATTCTAACAAGACATCAGTGTACGTGATTCTAACAAGACATCAGTGTACATCAAGACATCAGTGTACGTGATTCTAACAAGACATCAGTGTACGTGATTCTAACAAGACATCAGTGTATGTGTTCTAACAAGACATCAGTATACGTGATTCTAACAAGACATCAGTGTACGTGATTCTAACAAGACATCAGTGTACGTGATTCTAACAAGACATCAGTGTATGTTTTCTAACAAGACATCAGTGTACGTGATTCTAACAAGACATCAGTGTACGAGATTCTAACAAGACATCAGTGTACGTGATTCTAACAAGACATCAGTGTACGAGATTCTAACAAGACATCAGTGTACGAGATTCTAACAAGACATCAGTGTACGTGATTCTAACAAGACATCAGTGTACGAGATTCTAACAAGACATCAGTGTACGTGATTCTAACAAGACATCAGTGTACGTGATTCTAACAAGACATCAGTGTACGTGATTCTAACAAGACATCAGTGTACGTGATTCTAACAAGACATCAGTGTACGTGATTCTAACAAGACATCAGTGTACGTGATTCTAACAAGACATCAGTGTACGTTTCTAACAAGACATCAGTGTACGTGATTCTAACAAGACGTGATTCTAACAAGACATCAGTGTACGTGATTCTAACAAGACATCAGTATACGTGATTCTAACAAGACATCAGTGTACGTGATTCTAACAAGACATCAGTGTACGTGATTCTAACAAGACATCAGTGTACGAGATTCTAACAAGACATCAGTGTACGAGATTCTAACAAGACATCAGTGTACGTGATTCTAACAAGACATCAGTGTACGTGATTCTAACAAGACATCAGTGTACGTGATTCTAACAAGACATCAGTGTACGTGATTCTAACAAGACATCAGTGTACTGAAACAAGACATCAGTGTACGTGATTCTAACAAGACATCAGTGTACGTGATTCTAACAAGACATCAGTGTACGTGATTCTAACAAGACATCAGTGTACGTGATTCTAACAAGACATCAGTGTACGTGATTCTAACAAGACATCAGTGTACGTGATTCTAACAAGACATCAGTGTACGTGATTCTAACAAGACATCAGTGTACGTGATTCTAACAAGACATCAGTGTACGTGATTCTAACAAGACATCAGTGTATGTGTTCTAACAAGACATCAGTGTACGAGATTCTAACAAGACATCAGTGTACGTGATTCTAACAAGACATCAGTGTACGAGATTCTAACAAGACATCAGTGTACGTGACATCAGTCTGAAACAAGACATCAGTGTACGTGATTCTAACAAGACATCAGTGTACTGTAACAAGACATCAGTGTACGTGATTCTAACAAGACATCAGTATACGTGATTCTAACAAGACATCAGTGTACGTGATTCTAACAAGACATCAGTATACGAGATTCTAACAAGACATCAGTGTACGTGATTCTAACAAGACATCAGTATACGTGATTCTAACAAGACATCAGTATACGTGATTCTAACAAGACATCAGTGTACGTGATTCTAACAAGACATCAGTGTACAGTGTACGTGATTCTAACAAGACATCAGTGTACGTGATTCTAACAAGACATCAGTGTATGTGTTCTAACAAGACATCAGTGTACGTGATTCTAACAAGACATCAGTGTACGTGATTCTAACAAGACATCAGTGTACGTGATTCTAACAAGACATCAGTGTACGTGATTCTAACAAGACATCAGTGTACGTGATTCTAACAAGACATCAGTATACGTGATTCTAACAAGACATCAGTGTACGTGATTCTAACAAGACATCAGTGTATGTGATTCTAACAAGACATCAGTGTATGTGTTCTAACAAGACATCAGTATACGTGATTCTAACAAGACATCAGTGTAACAAGTCAGTGACATCAGTGTATGTTCTAACAAGACATTCTAACAAGACATCAGTATACGTGATTCTAACAAGACATCAGTGTACGTGATTCTAACGAGACATCAGTGTATGTGTTCTAACAAGACATCAGTGTACGTGATTCTAACAAGACATCAGTGTATGTGTTCTAACAAGACATCAGTATACGTGATTCTAACAAGACATCAGTGTACATTCTAACAAGACATCAGTGTACGTGATTCTAACAAGACATCAGTGTACGTGATTCTAACAAGACATCAGTGTACGTGATTCTAACAAGACATCAGTGTACGTGATTCTAACAAGACATCAGTGTACGTGATTCTAACAAGACATCAGTATACGAGATTCTAACAAGACATCAGTGTACGTGATTTTAACAAGACATCAGTGTATGTTTTCTAACAAGACGTCAGTGTACGTGATTCTAACAAGACATCAGTATACGTGATTCTAACAAGACATCAGTGTACGTGATTCTAACAAGACATCAGTGTATGTGTTCTAACAAGACATCAGTGTACGTGATTCTAACAAGACATCAGTGTTCTAACAAGACATCAGTATACGTGATTCTAACAAGACATCAGTGTACGTGATTCTAACAAGACATCAGTGTATGTGTTCTAACAAGACATCAGTGTACGAGATTCTAACAAGACATCAGTGTACGAGATTCTAACAAGACATCAGTGTACGTGATTCTAACAAGACATCAGTGTACGTGATTCTAACAAGACATCAGTGTACGTGATTCTAACAAGACATCAGTGTACGTGATTCTAACAAGACATCAGTGTACGTGATTCTAACAAGACATCAGTGTACGTGATTCTAACAAGACATCAGTGTAAACAAGACATCAGTGTACGTGATTCTAACAAGACATCAGTGTACGTGATTCTAACAAGACATCAGTGTACGTGATTCTAACAAGACATCAGTGTACGTGATTCTAACAAGACATCAGTGTACGTGATTCTAACAAGACATCAGTGTACGTGATTCTAACAAGACATCAGTGTACGTGATTCTAACAAGACATCAGTGTACGTGATTCTAACAAGACATCAGTGTACGTGATTCTAACAAGACATCAGTGTACGTGATTCTAACAAGACATCAGTGTACGTGATTCTAACAAGACATCAGTGTACGTGATTCTAACAAGACATCAGTGTACGTGATTCTAACAAGACATCAGTGTACTAACAAGACATCAGTGTGATTCTAACAAGACATCAGTGTACGTGATTCTAACAAGACATCATTATACGTGTTTCTAACAAGACATCAGTGTACGTGATTCTAACAAGACATCAGTGTACTAACAAGACATCAGTGTACGTGACATCAGTGTACGTGATTCTAACAAGACATCAGTGTACGTGATTCTAACAAGACATCAGTAACAAGACATCAGTGTACGTGACAAGACATCAGTCTAACAAGACATCAGTATACGTGATTCTAACAAGACATCAGTGTACGTGATTCTAACAAGACATCAGTGTATGTGTTCTAACAAGACATCAGTGTACGTGATTCTAACAAGACATCAGTGTATGTGTTCTAACAAGACATCAGTGTACGTGATTCTAACAAGACATCAGTGTACGTGATTCTAACAAGACATCAGTGTATGTGTTCTAACAAGACATCAGTGTACGTGATTCTAACAAGACATCAGTGTACGTGATTCTAACAAGACATCAGTGTACGTGATTCTAACAAGACATCAGTGTACGTGATTCTAACAAGACATCAGTGTATGTGTTCTAACAAGACATCAGTATACGTGATTCTAACAAGACATCAGTGTACGTGATTCTAACGAGACATCAGTGTATGTGTTCTAACAAGACATCAGTGTACGTGATTCTAACAAGACATCAGTGTACGTGATTCTAACAAGACATCAGTGTACATTCTAACAAGACATCAGTGTACGTGATTCTAACAAGACATCAGTGTACGTGATTCTAACAAGACATCAGTGTACGTGATTCTAACAAGACATCAGTGTACGAGATTCTAACAAGACATCAGTGTATGTGTTCTAACAAGACATCAGTATACGTGATTCTAACAAGACATCAGTGTACGAGATTCTAACAAGACATCAGTGTACGTGATTCTAACAAGACATCAGTGTACGTGATTCTAACAAGACATCAGTGTACGTGATTCTAACAAGACATCAGTGTACGAGATTCTAACAAGACATCAGTGTATGTGTTCTAACAAGACATCAGTGTACGTGATTCTAACAAGACATCAGTGTACGTGATTCTAACAAGACATCAGTGTACGTGATTCTAACAAGACATCAGTGTACGAGATTCTAACAAGACATCAGTGTACGTGATTCTAACAAGACATCAGTGTACGTGATTCTAACAAGACATCAGTGTACGTGATTCTAACAAGACATCAGTGTACGTGATTCTAACAAGACATCAGTGTACATGATTCTAACAAGACATCAGTGTACGAGATTCTAACAAGACATCAGTGTACGTGATTCTAACAAGACATCAGTATACGTGATTCTAACAAGACATCAGTGTACGTGATTCTAACAAGACATCAGTGTATGTGTTCTAACAAGACATCAGTATACGTGATATCTTCAGTCGACCATGCATTAGTTTTTTGGAATGCAAGTAATCCATTCCTCTTGCAATATCAGCAGCAAAAGAAAATCTTAAAATTGAACCCAGTAATTAATATCAACTGACAAATACAGAAAAAGAAGTTATAACTAAAACGGAATTCACTTTTCTTAGAACGATGGAGCATTGCTAACCGAGGATTACAACAACGAACTGTGATATCTTACCGAAAGGCCCAGTTAAGTGGTATTTCATCATTTAGAAGTACGTCGCTTATGCTCCCTTTGGGGCAATACTCAGAGACAATGGAAACGTTTGGCACATCTATACAACCACCAATAAATTTGCAAATATTTTGATGGTCTAGCTCTCTGGAAATAGAGTAAAATGAACATGCTAAAAATATCTATGTATTGTTAGACAAGATCCCATGGTGAAGCTTTTTAGACGATTACAAAAGGAACAGCAGAAGAATTGGAAAAATAAATTATCCAGAGTTGCCAAATAGTGGGAATTCATGGTCGTGTAACCAATGTGAGGAGAGTTTACCATTGAACGGCATTGTAAAGAGCAATCGACATGTTCTTATTTAATGTATTTTACCTTACACTTTTCACTTCCCATCGGATTGCTTCAGTGACAGAAAATTCCTTCTTAGTTATTTTTCGTACGGCCACTGTACGTCCATCACTACAGTAAAGAAAGGATTTCCATTAGATTGTAAATTAATGTATGTGTGCAACTGCAATAGCGTTCTTCGAATCAGTTGATGATTAAAAAAAAAAAAAAAAAAAAAAAAGCAAACAAAGAAATAGTCTTCGCTTTGGCAAATAATTTGAATACAATTATTACATCAAATACTTAACACTGACACAATTGCCGTCTTTGCAAACACTTGCTTCCTCAAAGCTGACATTGCCATATTGTTGGACTTTCCGGTGATATCCTGACCGCTTCCACAGGTCATACTGACCATACTTCCAAACGCCCCTCGCAGGCCTGCATCTGTAATTAGAATATATGTAATCAAGCATTATTACTTGTGTTTAAGTTTCAAATCAACATGACTTATTTAACATAAAAAATTATCTATAATACATTCAAACAGATATCTTTATAACAAGAGACAGTGTCGGGGTTACCTTCTTTTATTTTTTCATATGGTAATATCCAGCTCTCATCCCAAAGTAGCTTCCTTTTCTGGTACTGGAAATACTTGAATAAAAAATATTCTTTAAATTTTCAATATGAAGTAAAAACATGTATATTGGTTCGGCAATGCCAGCAGGCAAGATTTTTTTCATCAATATAGAAAGAAATATAGATATAAACATATATGTAATATTATGGCTTCAATATGCTAATGGCTCTTACCTGTTATTCATCTTTGATGTGTGACAATAACCTATATAATTACATGGTGTGAATCTCACTGTAAAGTGTGGGATTTAAATATCTCGAATTCGAAGATCCTGTTTCATTTGAAGCATTTCGTCGGTCCCTACCTAATTTTACACAAAACATTCGAGCTCACTTAAGTCCAATACTGGGTTATTTGTTTTCCAACGGTCACGCCGAGTTCGAGATAACGAGTTTCGACTGTAACTAGGTTGAATAAGTTTGATAAGCATTTACTCTTTCACGGTGCAGACATTATACGGTGATCTTGACAAATTTGTATATTTTTCCAAACATTACTAATGTAGCAACCGTGGGCTCACAATATTAGATATTTGCAGTCGTATTAAAAGTTCATCGGCATTGACCTCGGTAAATTTGAAAGTAATCCACTTTTGTGTCGCATACTCTCATTATATAACCGGCCGGTAATGACTCGCACATTCATTGTTTCAAATATCCTCTCCTAAATCCGGTGTAGTAAAAATAAATATGTACACCACATACCAGAATTGTGCCAACGCCAGCCACCAAAATGATAATTCCAAACGTAACGATTAGACCAATTTGCCAGCCTTTGAGAGGGCATGTCCCACAGTCCCTTGGACAGGTTTCACAGTCCTCGCCGTCATCAGTCTCGCACACACCATTCCCGCAATCTAAACGCACGAGAAAAAAATCATCACATTCTATATCTTATTCTATCGTAAAATAACGACGGATTATCCCACCATTGTACGATATCTACCCTTTCCTTTTTATCCTTTCTCTTTCCTCAAAACGTAGATACACACGACTAGGGACTAAAGATTACCAATATACCAAAATCTGACAACGATCCATTCGGAAGTTCTCAATGTACACGCCTTGATGGATGATGAATCCAGTAAAATAGTTCATCGCTATGATTTTATCCGTAACCTTGTCAAACAATGATCTTCCGCATGCCTACCATGATACACGATTATAGGCTTGTATACACTTTATAACGCATTTACCGTTCCTTTCAACTGAACACCTGACCTCAAAATGAGCACTAATACTGTTCACAAAGTTTCACTGGCGCAACCTTTTCCATTTTATTATATAACCTGATTCCTTATTTATTTCTTTGTAAATCATTAAAAAATATTGCACAGTCAAAATTATGTGGGGAGGTTTTAACACGTGTATACAACTGTTACTCACAAAACAGCCTTTCATGGATCCGATAATGGCACAATACTCACCCAATGAACACAGCTTACATATCGCTATTCATTATTTTGGTTGCATTTTTATTGACTACACATGGCCGTTGTTGGCAACTTAACGTCACTGGAATGTTAACCTTGCACATTATATCTTGTATGGGTACACTGATGTGGCGCGAATTTGGAAGCAGCATTGCTTCAAAGTGATTTTAACAGTTAACCATTTTAACCAGGTTAAAATCTAAATATTATCATTGACCCCATTATCTTTCCTGCAAGGATCACTGATGAATTTGCAGAAGTTGTTAAGTGTGACAATCGACCTTGACAGATGACAATCCTAACATGATAAGGTAAAGACCTTGATGATACTATGGAGTAACCTTGAGCTATATCCACTTTTGTTCTAGATGTCGACAACTGACTGCTACATACATTACAGATTTTAGAACGGTGCAATCTCATGAAGATCGGGCGTGTTTGCTGCTTGGAGTATACCTGTTGATTCAGTTTTTTTAGCTTTGTTCTCACTGTAACCGGAACATGATATAGCTTACTTGGTTCAACCAAGATTTATATGGCGGGTGTCGTTGATGAGGCAGTGGACTCTCACTTCACCCTATTTTCTCTGTGTTGTTTCAAGGGTCTATGTGTTAACTTTCTTTTGTTAATAGTTTGCACTAGGTTTATTGAAACTGAAATTAAGACGTTGGTATTTGTACCGTTTTTGTCGAGAGGTTCTTAAGATAAAACATTGAAAAACTGGACGCATAGCAACGGTACGAACGGACATGGGTAACACATGTACCGTATAACATGGCGGGGACACAAAAACGTATTACAGAGAAATTAATAACATTTTCAAAATCGGAGTATAAGAGTCAGTTACAAACTTGGCAATGACAGGTAAGGCAGGGATCCACATATCATCAATGTTTGATCGACGGTATAAGTAATTGACGTTCTTATGAAGATAACGTGATACGAATGAATATCAAAGCGTTTTGTGTCTCGCACAAATTCCCTTTAGGGTAATAAAATACACCACACCTTACATTCGTCCTTAAGCTTCTAGTCCTTGAAAATCTGCCACGCAAGTTGAAGAGCAAGTGGTAAGAATAAACAGCAATCTTTAGAAACACGCCACATCTCCTAAGAAAGCATTAAAGCCAACAGATCAAACAATAAAGGCCATGACCACAACTTTTTAATAGCAGTTGAATGATTCACATCGACACCCTACCGCACGGAATCACAATTAATGGTTCTGTAACGCTAACCTTTGGAATCATATTAAGATAACTGGCCAACTAGATTCAACACGTGTTGGACTACAGTGTAAATCCAAATATCTTTCTATGTTGGACTTTCGATATCCCCTCGTATAAGCATATCGGTAAAGCAACTAAATAAGGCTGCAAATTCTAACAAAGTGGCTAAACATATTCATATAAATTGGATCTCATTAAGTGCTTCACGACAGGAAGTCCTACAAGGTTCTTAGAGCGTATTATCATAAGATTGCCCAAGTTCTAGCGATATTTAGACTTTTCCTATCTTTTAATTCATTAAGTTTAGTAATGTGTGGTAGCTTTTTATAAGCACTTCATACCGTTTGTATCAGCATTTTTATTTAGCCGTTTGGTATTTAAATTAGAATAGTAATGTATGAGAAGAAATAGCGACAGAAAAAAGTATATTCTGTGAGAAAAGTGAAATTGAATACTTTAATATTTATAATACCAGAATTCACAAATTCAGTAAACAGAACACCTCACTTCATATTGAATGGTTCAATTGATTAATTTGGTCTACATCGCTGGTCTCGTTTGAAAAAATTTTAGTAACGAGAACATATATAAATAACGATGAATAGTAAGAAGCACATTGATAAACATCTCAAGTGCCTCATTGTAAGATGATGTTTACAGAGTTTTACATATGGAGCTTTAAGCTACAATCCCATTGCTACTCTAATATTTCTCCACTAAATTTATAAATTGCATTCTATACAAATAGTGACAAAAGTAAAAAATATTCTTTCTTATTTTATGTTTACATTTGTCGTGAAATACATGTAGGTTTTTTGACGCGTAACTTAATTAAGAAACCTTTTAATGTATTATATTGTGACGAAGTGAAAGGTCATCGCAGTTGTATACACTCGAAATTGCAACAACGTATCACTATAAATGGTTGGCTTTAGGTTTTTAAAAATGTAATTCGTGTCTTAAGAATAATATTTTCCATTAACCGTCTAAAAAACTTTTGTGGATTGCAAAGTAGAAAGGGGGTTTTAGTATCTGATATACGATTCCTAATTTCCTTTGCATTATATAAAGTTATAAGAGCTACTATCCTTTCTTTTTACTTAAACACTGTAACAACTGATATCGATTGCCTACAGAAGTAAACTTATCACAAAGTCTTGAGAGATACAGGTTAATGCAAGTTATGAGAAATCAGATGGTCGTGTTCATGAATTTATCTGAAACTATTTCATTTTCTTTTACCATGAACAATTTGTAACTCAAAGACGTTAATGATACTTTTACCATGAACACTTTTTAACTCAAAGACGTTAATGATACTTGAATGTGACGCAGTTTATATACCTTACCCTAACGCTTCTGGATTACCTGGTCTTATCATCCTGGCATTTTAAGTGTTTCCGATGAAATGCTGCGTTTGATAATATTTCTATTCATTTCCCCAATTTTGAGTTTAGGCTTTATTTTAATTTCACGTTGACGTTTCCTTTCCATAGAACAGGAAATTTTCACTGTGATGTAAGCTGTTATTGTAATAGCTTAAAACTTAAAATTCACGAGGAAAGAAATTGGGTAAAGTAAATTTCCAAATTGAGAAATTAGCATGTCACTTGCTTTCATTGAAATCTCCGAATGATGGTACAAATGGTAAACAAGCCAGAGTTTGGTAGCTATATTAATATCTTTGTATTTATTACTGGATCTTGTAAATACAGAATCATTTGTGAATTGATAATTTGTTTTGTCGATGACAGATTCAGTAATATCTGTACTTAAGAAGTATTAGATATATGAATGCCGCCTTCAGCTATTGTATCGATATACAATGTATCGTAAACATCAATCACAGTGCGTATAGGTATATTTACCTTCACATTTAATGACTTAATCATGTGAAAGCATAATGTATTGCAAATTTTTTTCTGTGAATGGTTTTATCTTTAATTGGCAGACCTTCTTAGCAGAATCATGCCTACATTAGTTCTGATTAGCATGACTGTATTTTTGACTGGACTGAGTATGTAAATATTAGTTTATAAAATTACCTGACACATACTAATCACAACTAATATACCTTTAAGATTGTTGATTCAAACTATTCAAGTTGTACACAATACAACAACCTTGTTTTGTGAAAGTGATTTTCCTTTTCCGCGAACCCAGGTTCGATAAACGAACGTCTCTGTTCGACTAACCAAAAACATTTGTGCAGGAGTAAGTAAGTGATAACCTTTTTATTTTCTCAATAGTTTTTTTCGATAAATTATGCTCAAAAGTTATATTGGTTAATTAAGATCCTGATCCAATACTCGGAGGTCAAAACAGCTTTGGAATGCATGTTTACACTTTATTTTTCATATAATATATTTTGTCCAGATATATCTATTACAAAAGAAATTTCAAAACACATGATATAAATTAACAGAGTGTGCTTAAACATTTTGTTTATATTTTTGTGCAAAACTAAAGAGAGTACAAATGAATTTAACCGTCAGTAAGGCCCTATTGTCAGTTGAGTAGTATTGAAAGTAACAAAAGTAACTGAAATGCACCTGATTTTGGAGTTACAGTTGTTTTAGCTTCGAGGACGATGTGAAGATCTGCGACCTTAAAGTGGGCTATCATTGAGTTGATACCGGTTTGGTAGAGACCTGGAATGTAGCTTGTCCAGTTTTGGACTAGGACTGACCCTACCAGGACCTGGGAATGAGTGAAAACCGCACCGTCGTCTGGAATCCACGGTCCACACAGTGAGGTTTGATCTAGTGGACAAGAGTGTACGTTGACATGGTGAACACAGCAGTTGATTTCAGTTGCGGTTGTATAGTCCGGACAAACAGTATTTTCACACCATGTCTGAGCATCTGTTGAGTTACTAGTTTTAAAAGAAATGTTAATTTTGGTTTGGAGATAGATATAGTGAAGAAATATGTTAGAAACCAATTATTTGCAAATTGACATATAACAAAATTATAAGAAAACAAGAATCGCAGAGGCACATCAAAAAATTTCCCTGACCTTACAAAATGTCAATGTTTTTATGATTATTTACACAAAATGTGATTTGAAGTTTAATAAGATACTTACGTAAAACCTGTTCCGCCCGCAGTACCAAAATATCCGTTGTTAATGGCCCACGTATAGAACGTGGAATCGAGGGAAAGGGCATACGTCACGTTGAAGGCGACATTGGCAGTCACTTCGGCAGGAGGAGAAACAAGCCATTCTATATGTACTCCTGGCAAAAAAAAATGATTATACTAGTAAATTTGTTCCAGACCATTCCATGCAATCCAAAGCTACCAAGGTTATGTATTACTCATTAAATCGTTACAGCATAGGCTACCCTTTTTTCACAGCTTCCCGAGAAGCACAAGCTCCCACGGGTAGAATTCCTAAACAGAACTGCAGTAGTGTTCGTCTCCTCGGGCAAGACATTTTAGTTTGCATTTAATGTGTATATAAGAAAGAATCGCGTTTCCTATTTCTTGATTTGATTAAGTATTTTTTTCATAAAACACATCATACAACCTGAGCAAGTGATAGTCGAAGGATTGGCAGCAGACGCTGATAATGGCCAGCAATGATAGGGTGTGTTCCCGAAACTGTGCCAACCAAGTGATAGATGGAAGGAGAGCTGGAAGAGTAGCAAACATTGTCATATAGACATTACACTAGCAAGACGTATATAACATGAAATAAAAACACGTGAACCAGTGGAAACAGATCATAAAGTTAACATTACCAAGACAGGGGCATAGAAACATAAAACAATATAACATGAACCGGGACACAAAGAGAATAATTAAAATATATCGGTCAATATTATATTAAGATAAGATATCAGGGTGAGAATGATGTTAGTAGATTAGGAAGCTGATGATCGTCGATCTAATTCATTTTTCAAGGATTTCAACCACAATGAAGATATTCTGAGCCACATTAATTTCAAAAATGCGCAGAGGAATCCTGGAGGTTCAAAAAGGACGAATTAATCAGCGATTATTAATTATTCGTATTCGAACCTAGGATCGTGTTACTTTCTTGTTTGATGTTCGTTAGTTTGCCTGTTGGTTCCGTTGTTGTATACCTTGTTCTCATTTGAGAACGTAACATTACTTACTTAGATTGACAAAGGTTTACATGGCGAGTGACGTCTCTGAAGCAGAATACGTTTACTCTTCCGGAACGCCTGGTTCTCTTGTACCTTTTCAGGCGTCTACGTGTAAATTTTTCTTTTGTTCATAATTTCCCTAGTTGTATGAAATTTGAGTTTGGATTATAATTATGTTGCCATTAAGGTATTTTCTTTGTTTCTTGATCTTGACCCGATTTTGTGATCTGTTACACAGTTTAAAAATCAATAATTTCAGGAAAAGACTTCTGTCAACTATTGAGATTCTATGAAACATGAAAAATACATCACTTTCAATTATTCTTTGTAATTATATTATTTCCGCCAAGGTTCTATTCTATAAGATTTACATTTGCTAAAGTCTTTAACTGAACAATTATATTTACTATGGTAAAAGGTTCATTGTACTAGTAAATGTTACTATAATTACCACAATTTACCTGTAACAAAACAAGGCGACTGCATGTACCGACTGTTCTTTTACGAACAATATTATTTACGTTACAAACAAATAATATAGAATAAGGCCAAGCCCAAGTGAAAAAGGGAAGCATGATAAATCCATAGCTAGCAATTTGTTTGAACCATCCATCAGGGGTAAACACTCTGGTCAAACATTACCGAGGAACAATTAAACTAAAGCAATCAGTAAACAGAGTATGTACTACATAAATGACATTTATATAGAATTGTTCGCCTATCTATAACACTGCTTACTTTTATAACAATGAGGTTGGATTACACAATAACATTTGTAGCAAACGGTTCAAATTTCAAACAAGACATGCAAGTCTGACGCGATTGTCCCCTCCATCATCTGAGGAGACGTGTGGAGCTGTTAGTGTTATTGACTTCTGAATGCTTCAGGTATCAATTGACCAAGACAGACGACAACGTTAATTAATAGCTGACTTGGTGTAAACAATACAACTTCATGTCACATTTCAGTCCAATTTCACGATGAGAAACTGGGAAAATGAACGCAAACTAAGGACTTTTTATAATTGGGTTTAAGGGCCATATCTGTTGAGCGCAACCGAATGTCATCCTGACTTTCCTGACGTACCAATTTCACTTTAATATCTCGATCCATTACAGAATGAATGGACAGAAACTGAATTTTAATGGAATGACAAAATGACGGTCGCGGACATTATATATCCCTGCTCACGCTTAAAACGTACTTGTCGAATAATCGACTCACAACAGTAAGCAAATTCCATGATGAAATGTCTTTGTTCACAGCCATTGAAAATTCATATCAATAAAGTGTTCCGTACAACGCAAAGCGAAGACATTTATGTAATTGTGAATGAATGTAGGATAAAATTATACTGTTTATCCGCTTTCTAGAGATTAAGTATATTGAGTATCGGTGTACATGTGACCTATTTGATATTGTAATTTTTAAATAAAGCTACGATCATTCGCTATCGCAGGTATGATCAAATATTGAATGAATAAATCTAAATAAAATCAAGTCCCTACTAATACTAACTTAAAAAGACGCAGTTTACGTGTGATATTAAAAAGACAGCATAACAATAATAGGCATTATAATAATAACATGTTTTCCTGAATGACATTTATTTAATTTTATTTTTTTAAAGCACCTTTGCCTTTTATTTTTACATCATGTCAGGAGAGATTTTGCGGTTTTTAATCGGTATCTTTTAAATTTGGTAGGTTTTGTATTAATGATTTTCGTGCAAGAAAGGGGGAAATTTAAGTTCGTCATAGTGATGTAATTGAGAAATATTCTATCATCCCCAGCATCAGTAGTAAAATTATTATTTGTGTCTTTACAACTGTCTTTTATTTATCCACATATTATCTGAATCTCTTCACTTTGTTACATTTCTATCTTGATAAGTAAAGAGTATATATCTCTCTCCCCTAATGCATGAACACTGCTTTTCGTGTTGCTTAAGGATGAGTAAGATAAAACCTGCCGTGTTAATGCTATCTATCAGAGATATCCATCGCTATAAACTGTTGTTTGAACGATCTCTCATCCATGGTTATAGACTTAAATAACTTCAGATTCTTACGAAGACTAAAAAACTAATAACAATCGAAATTCCATAAAGTATTTGACGTAAGAGTTCAGCTATAATGTTTCCTCAATTATTGTTAGTGAAGTCATATCATACATAAACTCTCCTTTCGTTAACACACCGGAAACATTGTATATCCACAGAACTATGTACAATGAATCACGATGATGAAGGCGGCATTGATTTTCCTAACGATGTCCATAGACCACAAATATAGTCATATTGTCACATCGGTTATGACCTGAACCAGGCCATGGGGAACTAGTCTGTTTCAACTTACCTTAATCATAAACGAACCATTTTACACTGTTGATATACATATTCAGAATAATTATCATTGTTATAATCTTTGATCAATTCTTCCGTGTTCAGAATTTGTTTAGACTATGATCAATAATATGTCCAAAATGAATACAGCAATGTCCTGAATACGAGGTCTTTATGCTATGAGAACCATTTTCGTTAAAGTAGAAAACCATGTTGTATTAAGTGATACTTGAAGTGAGCACCATAAAAAGGATTTATTCATACATTTTAACGGAGAATTTTCCAAATTTCTCAATAAAGATGCTCAGGATATACTCTTAGAATATACAACTTAAAACAGGACAGCGATTAAAAAAGAGTAACATTAAGTAATACCAACTCCTAATGAACGAATTTATGTCAGCAACGAAAATCCCATTAAAATCATTATATGTTATCAGCATAAAAAGCGTTCTTGGATGATCTAGAGATCTATATAATTTCGTTAAACATTTAACAGTGAGCGGTCCATCGCAATCCGTTCAATACAGGAAATTTTAGTTTTTTGAAAGGGATTAACTTAAGTAACGAACAATCAATACAAAAAGAAAAAAAAAAGATATTTCAACAGATTCTAAATTCAGGTTCAAATATAGTAGCACTAGGACAAAACCTGAACAGATAAAAGATTTACATGAAGAATCTTAAACGACATCAGCCATATGCCTGGAGTAATATCAAGTTCCTTAATGAAAACAAGGTAAACAACAGCTGAACACCGGGTATACCTAAGGTCATGAAACTTGCCAGACATCATACATATGCATATCTTGAAACCATGTATTATGAATTCGGCTATCAGTTGTCGACATCTTGTACGAAAATCGTGATCCTAGGAACAAGCCCTTAATATGAGATGAGAACACCAAAGGTTGGTGATAATAAGTTTGTTTGTTCAGAAATGGAAACTGCATACTAGGGAAAGTGTAATCTTAAAACGTAGCTTGGTGAAAAATTGTTCCTGCTGTTTTCGTTGTATTAAAATATCGAGGTGAGCGGCTCATGTAGAAGAGTCTAGTCATGGTAAAAAAATTCTTTTCATTTAAAGGCAAGACATCGTCAATATATCTAGAAGACTTCCCAAGGTTTCTGTGAACTGTTTTGATAAACCCTTCGATAAATTAAGTCTCATGTGAAAGCAAAAAACAAGTCAACCAAGGGGCACGGTCAGTTCCTATGTCAATGGTCTGTCTGTGATCTTACCATTAAACTCGATGACGATGTTACAGATTAGATGTCTTAGAAATGTGGTTTGTAAGTATTTGCAAACTGTATAATCTGATAATGAATTTAGATAATGTTTAAGCATTGTTTCTTTCTGTAGGCAAAGTGTAGTAATTATGTCTGAAAAGTCAGGTAATAACCTTTCTTCTACGGAGAGCAGAAATGCAATGATAAATAAAAATACCGTGACTACTGATCATCGTTTGATATAACGAAATTTCTACTCGTGGTGTTACGTGAGCACGATTCGTTTCAAGAATGTATAATGTTGTAATTGTCGTTTAGTGCATATCCGTCCTATAACAACAGTACCTAGATTCAATTCTCGCCTTAAAACGTGATGTTAATAACATAATTTTATGTTTGATGACAAAGTACTTTTTTGTGCGGATGTTTAATAAAGGGAAACGGATGTCTCTTATCAAAATCCTGTTTGCTTATGTTACTTGAATTATGATGTCGATGTTTATAGATTATGCTACTGTTTTTAGCAAATGTCCTCCAGTTTTTATTAGCATCAACAACAGCTTTAATGTTTTTATCATTTATGGGCACTGTGTTTTTGTGAATGAGCATAATCCTACGCTACAACTCTGTAATAATGAGATAAAAGTTAACAGTGTTTTTATCTATTGACGTTTCGACAGTTGCCAGTCTTTGGAAACAGACCAAGTAAGTGCATTAGAATCAGCTCCTTTGATTTCACTGTTGTGAAATTTGCAATAGTTCTCACATAATCCATTATATACATTAGTGTTGTAAATAATTGTAAGCTGGATTGAAATATGACATGGAGCGTGTATTGATCCTTTTGCACTCCGAAAAACAGCATCAATATTCCAAACGAAGACTTAAGGTTATATGAAGAAAACGATAAAACTGCCAACCTATCATCCAAAATCTTGTTTATAAACCTGTTTGATTATCAAATGTTAGTAGATTTACACGTATGTACTTAAAGACATCAATTATTAAGGATGGTCGTATGGTGCGCGTGTTCTTTGCAACGGGTATAGAATTGTTTTTTAATTTATTTAGACGTCATCAATTTTATGTGGCTACTTTATTTTTAGTGCAACAAATGTACTATTCAACGAAAAACTGCTTTCTCATTCCCCTTATGTTATTGTTTAAGAATAATTGTTCACGAATCAGTTCACAGAATTTATAAACATTTTGTCATCTTACCGTAACCTTTCAAAAATATTAAAATAAAAAAGTTCAACAAATCAATAAATGTTGCTGTAAATGTACATTTCTTTATTTTAATAACTTGATACACAAATATTGGTATATTATATTTATTTAAGCATATGAATAGAAGTATATAATTTTAGTGTAAACTTTTTAACTACACTACATTTTTATTTATACTTCAGTCGTTATAGGGATTATATTTACTGATACCCTGTGATGTATAGCAAGTTTGATGGAAACGTTATATATGAATTCAACTGATGCCCCGTGATGTATAGCAGGTTTGATGGAAACGTTATATATGAATTCAACTGATGCCCCGTGATGTATAGCAGGTTTGATGGAAACATCTTATATATGACGCATTAGGTCATTATTGAATTAATGCATTCACTGGTACTAAAACCCTGTTAATTCACGTAAAACATAACCACATCTTCAAACGACCACAGGTATAATGAAATGAAATCTATGACAAACTTACTGTTAGAAGAAAGACTATCCGCTTCCTCTCTGCTTCCATTTATTACTGCCTGGTGTTTCTCATTTGGAAATGTAAGCAATTTGTGTCCTGCTTCAACTCTTCTCCTGTGGGATAGTTCACTGTCGATCAGGTATTCCGCCAGTGCCGTAGGATACGTGATGAATGGTCTTTAATGAAGGTTTGTCAACGTGAATAACAAATCACACTCTCTGTCAGATTTGTTGATTTGTTATATGGTCTAAATATTGATCCTTAAAAACCAGTTTATCGCTTATGTATAGCATTCTATAAGCAATATTTGTTTCATAGTACCTTGTCGAAATTAACAAATAGTTATCCAATAATGGTGTACAATAAAACATTCTTCCACTCAGTGTATCGGCTCCTTTAACTAAGCGTCCACCTTTGTCCAGAAGTTCATTTGCTTTATTTACTTTACACTGGTGAATTTTCTTTACTTTGCTAAACATTGAGAATACATTGACTGGTCTGGAGTCCCAAAGTAAAGTATATTGTTAAATATTTCAATTTGAACAAAACATATTTCCTATTAAATACACACTCAAAAATTATCACGTCACAATACCGACAGTTTAGGTGTAACAATACACCACGTCTTCAACATGCAAGGATTTAAGTAGTTTCCACCTTCGATTTCATTAGACTTTATCCTTCAATAAACAAACCGGTTTGTTTGTTAACATAAATTGAATATCAGTCAAGATTTAACGCTTGTTGATCATTGGAGTGCGTGTGCTAAAAACTTAACCCTAGCTCAGATTATCGTTAATGGTTTTTATTTCCGTTTTGTAAAGTCAAATTGAAATTCTTGTTGCATAATTTTGATAAGTCTCGATAACTAGATGCAATGTATAATAGCACGTGATCTCGTGAGGTACTTGCTTGCACATGACCGATCCAACAGGTAGCATGGTACACAGTCCATAGTTACGGTACATCATTGTCCTCGTTTTGTGTTCCCATAAACGACGTTACGTTTCCCGACAAGATTATAAACCGTCCTGTCCGTGACGAGGAACATGTTTACCATGGAAATAAAGTATAATCTTTTTTTATTGTATTTTATGACATGACGTACAAAGAGCGTAAAGATCACAAGCATGATACGATGAAAAGCAAAGTAACGTTATTTTCGTTGTTTTAACTTTGATTTACATAGAAATAGCACAATTAATTTACTACGCAAGTCTTATTTGGGCCACTTTACAATTGTTAGCAGTTTGCGCAAACACATTCGTTCATATATATCAACACAATAAACAGACATCCGAAAATGTTTGACGATTTTGGTAATGGATAATTATATTCAAATTACACATGGGAAAAACTTTTCTTTGATTAGTGTTCGGCGGAGAAACTTTAAGTGAACCAAAAACGTAATTCACAATAACATCACAGCAATGATCCAGGAGGATTTTTATCTTTATTTCTCGTATTAGCCTTTGTTTTTTGGTGTCCCAAATTAAAATCGGGCACAACTCTGGACCAATGGGAAAATACATATAAAACTTAAGAATCATCTATATAGTCGTTTAAAAATAACGATAACAAAATGGCATTGTCTAAGACGACAGCCTGTCAATCGTCTCGTCTTCCAAAACAATCCAAAAGTTGGCCATGGACATTTAGGTGAAAAGGTAAACCTACATATGAAATTTGCAGACAGTACTTTCCAGAAATTGCGAAACAACTATAGGGATTAAGGAGAATCTAGATATGAAGTTTGCGAATAGCCATTTTTCCCCGATCAATACTTAACATGGACAAGATAAACTTAACATAAGGAGAAACGCACAATTAAATTATGCAATCAATAGCCGATGACATTTTGGGAAATTTGTACAAAAATTTGTACCAAACCTATTCGGGCCATGTTTGCGCATCCAGTCAAGACGCACTTGCCAACTCCGTGGTGTCAGAGGTGGACCGCAATGACTCGTTACACTCTCACGACCGCTCCTGGGACGATCGCAAACTAACCCAGTACCATGAAAACGTGAATGGAGACGGTTACTTATTCAAAGGGCAACGCCAAACTGCCGTGCGACAGATTAAAACATGTAACTGGACATCTTGGTCAATGGAGAAATCATAATGCCAATGTGGACAATTAATGTGGCTGAACTTATCCGTTGAAATTATTCGTTTGAAAGAATCGGGCTTGGTTTGATCACGCCGGTGATGTAGATGAAATAAGCGCACAGAGTAAGACACAGACAATGACATCGTCATGCTTGGCTGATTTTAGGTTAGATTGTCGACAAGGCATATAATTCTTGATGTAATGTCTGACAAAATATTCCATTATTTCCTGCAGGGAGTGGGGTGGGGTTCTTTGTTGTTGAATATATATATGTATGCCAACTAGGCGGCCATGACGAATTTACATATGAAATTTGGGAACGATCAAATAAACTCTTTACCAGATGTAGCAATAACAAGGACGGGCGGGCGAAGACGTGGCATTACTTACATAAACGCTTACTCTACCGGAACACCTGGTCTTATTCTCTTTGTACTTTTTCAGGAGTCTCGATGGATTTGTTTGTTTCGTTTATAGTTTCATTCAATTTGAGTTCAGACAATAACTATGTTGACATTTTGGTATTTTCTTTTTTTTTACTCCTTATCAGTTAACACAGGAATTCTGAAATATTGTAATATTGAATAGCAAATTATGAGAAATTATGGCCCAGAAAGAATTTGTGTAGGATGTTCCACACATTAAAAAAGGATCATTGTGACTAAATATTGTGATTGGAACATCTTTAAAGCCTCCGTAACAACATTTGATTCACATGAATGCTTATAAACTGTGACAAACATATAACATTGTACATTAGGAAATATGAAAACTATGCGCGAAATTCAACCTGCTGGATTCCATACTTGGTTCTAATACTTGGATATACAAAATAACTTCAAACAAAATGCTTTATTAGCTTCAAAATATGATTCAACAAACTATACAAACAAACGTTTTGTCTATCACAATGACATTGAACGTACATGAAATTTGATCATGTGACCTAAAATTGTTACATGCAAAACATGATATATTCATTAAAGGCATATATCATATACAAACCTCTCACAAAAAGAAAGTAATCTTGATGTTATGCAAACATAACAAAGTGGATGGGAAGAATGCATATATTAATTCCTTTGTTACAAGAAACAAGCATTTACCTGTTGTTGCATATCATAACAAGAGTGCGTGGACACAATATACGCTGCCACAAAATATAAAGATCAAGATAAAATGGCATAAATCTTTCAAAAATCAACGAACTGAAAAATCGACCCTTTATGCAAATCAAATCCTTGTATTAGTGACATTGAGCAAATTTTATGAAAATCTGATCATTAGTTTAGGAGGAGTTGCGTTCACAAAGCTCCACTAAGAGCAAGCTACAGATACAAAGTTGAAAATGGCATAAATCTTACAAAAAAAAAAAAAAAAAAACCAAAACCACCCCTTCATGCACATCAAACCTTTGTAGTAGTGACATTGAGCAAGTTTCGTGAAAATCTGATGATTAATTTAAGGAGGAGTTGCGTTCACAAGGCTCAACTATGAGCAAGCTACAGATACAAAGTTGAAAATGGCATAAATCTTACAAAAATCAACGAACTGAAAAATCGGCCCTTCATGCACATCTATCCATCGTAGTAGTGACATTGAGCTTCGTGAAAATCTGATGATTAGTTTTGGAGGAGTTGCGTTTACAAGAAATGGACGTACAGACAGACAGATGGAGAAGATGACGCCAATATACGACTGCCTCCGGCGGCGTACAAAAATCTGGTTTCATACACAAACTATTGTTTGCTATATTTCAAATTATTTTTATATCACTTTCGGTAACATTAATTTTCATTTATTTACATTATATATATTTAATATATCATATCATAGCAGCCAATCAGAAATATTTATTTTCTACATCGATTAACCGAAATGTCATCACCTATACTCAACAAAATCACAAAACTTGTTTACATATATGGATTACCACAGTAAAACAAATCAAGAATAAACATCTATTAGTGATGACAAAACTAACAGTATGTACTTGTTTAAATCATCTTGATAATGAACATACACATCAAAGAATAAAAACATGAACTCTGTACATCTTGGATAATCATTGATAAAATGATAGCCAACAGTATGTTGAGAATCTAATGCTATTCACCATACAAATTATGAACTTTTACGTGTATACCGAACATCTACTGACTACATGGATGTCCATTCACCAAACACTCTGCCTTTGCGTAACCTGTCAAATACTTTGTTACAACTCAAACCTATTTTTAACAACCTTCTACAGCATATTATTAATATATATCAACAAGTAATGCTCACTACAAATGCAAAGAAAAATGTCCCTCTATGTCCCATTTTATCTGATCATTGTATGAAGGCTTCTCCTTACAGCTGTCAATTCATGTTTTTGCTGAAATAAAAATGTATGCCTGAGATTATTGTTATCAGTCTTTTTAAAATTATTTGTGCCTCAAAGTGACATATGGTATATCTTATGTGATAAGAGAAACATACAAGTTTACAAGAACTGCCATGTTCACTCAAAATATTTCTTGCTTTTTTTTGCTTATATTTTTAGTCAGTTCTTCAAAGTGCATACATGACAATATCATTACATTATTCACAGCACACTCATCCATAGATCTAAATAAAGACATTTGTATATAAGACATCTGTATACAACCACTCGTATCATTCCTAATTCAAGTTTTCAAATACACTGTGTGTTCATACACACTACAGATGTATGATATAACATTCCTAATTAAAGATTTTCTATACACTAGATGTCCATATAGAAACATTAATGATTTAACATTTCATACACATCAGTTCTGTTCAATATTTTCATCTCTATACAAGATGAACATTAAAAGAAGTGCTTATACATGCATATAAATAGTTCTCACATTTAATTTTTTATACACAAGCAAACACCATGTTATGAGATTTTAATTGATCCAAGATGTCAGTTTAGAATATTGAAATAAAACTAGTCATAATAGTCATGTTTTTTTTTTCTTTTGAAAGAAAGAAAAAGACAGACAGGTCATACAAAAAAAAAAAAAAAAAAAAATGGTAGACATGTGTACATAGGCATAAAATGTCAGATTGACATTCAGATAGATGAATAAAAAGAAATATAAGCACAAAGACATTTGACACAAGGGCAAGTGTTGACAGACTAGAGAGAGACAGGCCTTCAAAACTCAAAAGTATCAAATTAAATAGACAATTGCTTTATAGAAAACATTTGCTCTAAACAAACTAACAGAGTTCAAAAGACCATTAACAGATAAGAATGGATATAGACAGAAATGACAAGACAGAAATGACAGTGAAAGGAAACAGAAGTGCTTCTGAGAGGATTTCAAAGCTCTGTGATAAATTTTGAACTTTTTGACATTCCCAAAATAATTGAGTTATGGTTTCTGACTCTGATTTACAAAAAGTACAAAGTGGACTTACAAGTGCGGTTACATTAAATAGTAGTGAATTTGTAGTCAAAATATTATGTAAAATTCTATCCTGAAACCATTGAATTTCAGAATCATTTTAAATGGTAAAGAAAAAACTGATGCTCATTCGGAGCTAACAAAGTCAAATCTGTCCATCAAAATACTTGACAGGTGTACAAACATCAGAGCGATTGGTAACAAAATTCAATAACATCCATTTAAAACTTTTTCCCTACTTACCGCATCTAAAAGCAATTTCCTTTGCATTGATGTCAAATCTTTCTTCATGGCATTTTTAAATGTTTCCTGAAAACAAATAGTCAATTGATAGTCACACAATGAAGTAACTTAAATCAACAGAAAAATAAGAAAAGAGGCCCACAGGCTTTATGGGTCATCTGACTATAAAGACCTATATATAAAAAAGGCCAATTAGGCCTAAAATAAATTACTCAACTACACTTCAGATTACATAATAGACACTGTTTGTTTCAGGAAGACATTTTCGGCACACTTGAAAACATATTCTTTATACATGCACTACACCATTACCTGAACATATTGCTTATTGAAAAAGCATGCTACAGGCCCAATGTCAAGACCCTTGGCCTTTTGCTTATTGAGAGGTAGCTGCTTTCGCATTTCAAAACATTTTGGTTATAAAGAATTTGTTTTAACAATTAAACATATTTAATCCCTGTAACGTTGAAAGTGGATCAAGGTAATTTATATTTACAAACTTGATTGTGCTTCATTTCATCATGTTACAGGCCTAATATCAGCACCCTGAGCCTTTTGGTTATCGAGAAGAAGTGGTTTAAACATTTACACATATTTGACCCCTGTGACCTTGAAAGAAGGTCAAGGTCATTCATATTTATAAACTCTGTTGGGCTTTATCCCATCACGCTACAGGCCTAATATCAGTACCCTGAGCCTCTTGGCTGAGTAGAAGTTGTTTAAACATTTAAATATAATTGATCCTGGGACCTTGAAAGTGGACCAAGATCATTTATATTAACAAACATAATAGCCTTTCATCCCACCAAGCTATAGGCCCAATATCATTACCATGGATATTTTGGTTATTGAGAAGATATTTGAATGGAAAGTGTACGCACAGCAGATAGCGGATGGCGTTCCATGACATATGAAACACAATGGCTATATGTCATCCCGACCCTTCGGGTCAGATGACCTAACAACATAGTAGCTTGTCATCCTAGCATGCTACAGGCCTGATATCAGCAGCCTTTTGGTTATTGAGAAGTAGTCATTTTGAATTGAAAGTTTATGCACGGTGGACAGCGCACGGTGCGCAATGATGGACGAAACATAATGGCTATAGATAAAACTAACAATCAAGCATCATTCCTGTTCAGTATTGTAATCATTTTCACTAGGATATAATGATATTCAATGGAAACTTTTTGTGCCTTGACCAATTATCACCAAAGTTTTGTGTGATTATAACTAAATGGGTATAAGGGCACACTAGATCTCTTATCATAAGGAAGTAATTTCACAGTAATCAATTAAAGTGTGGTCTGATAACACTCCAAATGAATGACTGAACTTAAGCAAATCAACTTATCTCAGAAAATGAAAAACAGCGAAACACACATTAAATTTTGTAAACTCAACCTAATTACAGAAAGTAGTAATGACTAAGATATAAAAGTAAATGAAATCAACAGAAAATGTGTGTCAGGTTTACATAGCATACTAAAGGTTTATGTGTTGTGTAAAATGTGTGTCAGGTTTACATAGCATTCCAAAGGTTACAAATCATTTAAGTGCATAAAATGTGTGTCAGGTTTTTAATTCATATTGGTCCATGCAACACATGCTTGCCACAAAATCAGCCTGCAAAGGTGGATGTAAAGTGTGAAATGTGTGTCAGGTTTACATAGCATACTAAAGGTTTATGTGTAGTGTAAAATGTGTGTCAGGTTTACATAGCATTCCAAAGGTTTGTGTCAGGTTTACATAGTATTCCAAAGGTGGATGTGAAGTGTGAAATGTGCATCAGGTTTACATAGCATACCAAAGGTTAAGTGTAAGATGTGTGTTAGGTTTACATAGCATACCAAAGGTGGATGTGAAGTGTGAAATGTGTGTCAGGTTAACATAGCATACCAAAGGTGGATGTGAAGTGCAAGATGTGTGTAAGGTTTACATAGCATTCCAAAAGTGGATGTGAAGTGTAAGATGTGTGTCAGGTTTATATAGCATTCCAAAGGTGGATATGAAGTGGAAGATGTGTCAGGTTTATATAGCATACCAAAGATGGATGTGAAGTGTAAGATGTGTGTCAGGTTTACATAGCTTTCCAAAAGTGGATGTGAAGTGTAAGATGTGTGTCAGGTTTACATAGCATACCAAAAGTTTATGTGAAGTGTAAGATGTGTGTCAGGTTTACATAGTATACTAAAGGTTTATGTGAAGTGTAAAATGTGCGTCAGGTTTACATAGCATACTAAAGGTTTATGTGAGTTTACATAGCATACCAAAGGTTTATGTGAAGTGTAAAATGTGTGTCAGGTTTATATAGCATTCCAAAGGTTTGTGTAAAGTGTAAAATGTGTGTCAGGTTTACATAGCATACTAAAGGTTTATGTGAAGTGCAAGATGTGTGTCAGGTTTACATAGTATTCCAAAGGTGGATGTAAAGTGTGAAATGTGTGTCAGGTTTACATAGCATACCAAAGGTTTATGTGAAGTGCAAGATGTGTGTAAGGTTTACATAGCATTCCAAAAGTGGATGTGAAGTGTAAGATGTGTGTCAGGTTAACATATCATACCAAAGGTGGATCTGAAGTGTAAGATGTGTGTCAGGTTTACATAGCAAACTAAAGGCTGATGTGAAGTACAAGATGTGTGTTAGGTTTACATAGCATGAGAAAGGTTTATGTGAAGTGTAAAATGTGTGTCAGGTTTACATAGCATACCAAAGGTTTATGTGAAGTGTAAGATGTGTGTCAGGTTTACATAGCATACGAAAGGTTTATGTGAAGTGTAAGATGTGCATCAGGTTTACATAGCATTCCAAAGGTTTGTGTGAAGTGTAAGATGTGTGTTAGGTTTACATAGCATACCAAAGGTGGATGTGAAGTGTAAAATGTGTGTCAGGTTTACATAGCATACCAAAGGTTTATGTGAAGTGTAAGATGTGTGTCAGGTTTACATAGCATACTAAAGGTTTATGTGAAGTGCAAGATGTGTGTCAGGTTTATATAGCATACCAAAGGTTTATGTGTAGTCTACAATGTGTGTCAGGTTTATATAGCATTCCAAAGGTTTGTGTAAAGTGTAAAATGTGTGTCAGGTTTACATAGTATTCCAAAGGTGGATGTGAAGTGTGAAATGTGCATCAGGTTTACATAGCATACCAAAGGTTCATGTGAAGTGTAAAATGTGCGTCAGGTTTATATAGCATACCAAAGGTTTATGTGAAGTGCAAGATGTGTGTCAGGTTTACATAGCATTCCAAAAGTGGATGTGAAGTGTAAGATGTGTGTCAGGTTTACATAGCATACCAAAGGTGGATGTGAAGTGTAAAATGTGCGTCAGGTTTACATAGCATACTAAAGGTTTATGTGAAGTGCAAGATGTGTGTCAGGTTTACATAGTATTCCAAAGGTGGATGTAAAGTGTGAAATGTGTGTCAGGTTTACATAGCATACTAAAGGTTTATGTGTTGTGTAAAATGTGTGTCAGGTTTACACAGCATTCCAAAGGTTTGTGTAAAGTGTAAAATGTGTGTCAGGTTTACATAGCATTCCAAAGGTTTATGTGAAGTGTAAGATGTGTGTTAGGTTTACATAGCATACGAAAGGTTTATGTGAAGTGTAAGATGTGCATCAGGTTTACATAGCATGTGTGTAGTGTTTTTATATAGCATACCAAAGGTTTATGTCAAGTGTAAAATGTGTGTCAGGTTAACATAGCATACCAAAGGTGGATGTGAAGTGTAAGATGTGTGTCAGGTTTACATAGCATACCAAAGGTTAAGTGTAAGATGTGTGTCAGGTTTACATAGCATACCAAAGGTGGATATGAAGTGCAAGATGTGTGTCAGGTTTATATAGCATACCAAAGGTTGATGTGAAGTGTAAGATGTGTGTCAGGTTTACATAGCATACCAAAGGTTCATGTGAAGTGTAAAATGTGCGTCAGGTTGATATAGCATTCCAAAGGTTTGTGTAAAGTGTTAAATGTGTGTCAGGTTTACATAGTATTCCAAAGGTGGATGTAAAGTGTGAAATATGTGTCAGGTTTACATAGCATACTAAAGGTTCATGTGAAGTGTAAAATGTGTGTCAGGTTTACATAGCATACTAAAGGTTTATGTGAAGTGTAAGATGTGTGTCAGGTTTACATAGCATACCAAAGGTTTATGTGAAGTGTAAGATGTGTGTCAGGTTTATATAGCATACCAAAGGTTTATGTGAAGTGCAAGATGTGTGTCAGGTTTACATAGCATTCCAAAAGTGGATGTGAAGTGTAAGATATGTGTCAGGTTTACATAGCATACCAAAGGTGGATGTGAAGTGTAAGATGTGTGTCAGGTTTACATAGCATACCAAAGGTTTATGTGAAGTGCAAGATGTGTGTCAGGTTTACATAGCATACTAAAGGTTTATGTGTAGTGTAAAATGTGTGTCAGGTTTACATAGCATTCCAAAGGTTCATGTGTAGTGTAAAATGTGTGTCAGGTTTACATAGCATTCCAAAGGTTTGTGTGAAGTGTAAAATGTGTGTCAGGTTTACATAGCATTCCAAAGGTGGATGTGAAGTGTAAAATGTGTGTCAGGTTAACATAGCATACCAAAGGTTTATGTGAAGTGTAAGATGTGTGTCAGGTTTACATAGCATACCAAAGGTTTATGTGAAGTGTAAGATGTGTGTCAGGTTTACATAGCATTCCAAAAGTGGATGTGAAGTGTAAGATGTGTGTCAGGTTTACATAGCATACCAAAGGTGGATATGAAGTGGAAGATGTGTGTCAGGTTTATATAGCATACCAAAGGTGGATGTGAAGTGTAAGATGTGTGTCAGGTTTACATAGCATACCAAAGGTGGATGTGAAGTGTAAGATGTGTGTCAGGTTTACATAGCATACTAAAGGTTTATGTGAAGTGCAAGATGTGTGTCAGGTTTACATAGCATACCAAAGGTTCATGTGTAATGTAAAATGTGTGTCAGGTTTACATAGCATTCTAAAGGTTTGTGTGAAGTGTGAAATGTGTGTCAGGTTTACATAGCATACTAAAGGTTTATGTGTAGTCTACAATGTGTGTCAGGTTTATATAGCATTCCAAAGGTTGATATGAAGTGTGAAATGTGAGTCAGGTTTACATAGCATACAAAAGGTTTATGTGATGTGTAAGATGTGATGTGAAAGTGTAAGTGTGTGTGTCAGGTTTACATAGCGTTCCAAAGGTTTGTGTGAAGTGTAAAATGTGTGTGAGGTTAACATAGCATACCAAAGGTTTATGTGAAATGTAAGATGTGTGTCAGGTTTATATAGCATACCAAAGATTTATGTTAAGTGTAAGATGTGTGTCAGGTATACATAGCATACCAAAGGTTCATATGAAGTGTAAAATGTGTGTCAGGTTTACATAGCATTCCAAAGGTTTGTGTGAAGTGTAAGATGTGTGTTAGGTTTACATAGCATACCAAAGGTTTATGTGAAGTGTAAGATGTGTGTTAGGTTGACATAGCATACCAAAGGTTTATGTGAAGTGTAAGATGTGCATCAGGTTTACATAGCATAAGGTTTATGTATGTGTGTCAGGTTTATATAGCATACCAAAGGTGGATGTGAAGTGTAAGATGTGTGTCAGGTTTACATAGTATTCCAAAGGTGGATGTAAAGTGTGAAATGTGTGTTAGGTTTACATAGCATACCAAAGGTGGATGTGAAGTGTAAAATGTGCGTCAGGTTTATATAGCATACCAAAGGTTTATGTGAAGTGCAAGATGTGTGTCAGGTTTACATAGCATTCCAAAAGTGGATGTGAAGTGTAAGATGTGTGTCAGGTTTACATAGCATACCAAAGGTTTATGTGAAGTGCAAGATGTGTGTCAGGTTTACATAGCATGTGTGTAAATGTGTGTCAGGTTTACATAGTATTCCAAAGGTGGATGTAAAGTGTGAAATATGTGTCAGGTTAACATAGCATACCAAAGGTGGATGTGAAATGTAAGATGTGTGTCAGGTTTACATAGCATACTAAAGGTTGATGTGAAGTGTAAGATTTGCGTCAGGTTTACATAGCATACCAAAGGTTTATGTGAAGTGTAAGATGTGTGTTAGGTTTACATAACATACCAAAGGTTTATGTGAAGTGCAAGATGTGTGTCAGGTTTACATAGTATTCCAAAGGTGGATGTGAAGTGTAAGATGTGTTTCAGGTTTATATAGCATTCCAAAGGTGGATATGAAGTGGTAGATGTGTGTCAGGTTTAAGGTATGCATGTGTCAGGTTTACATAGCAAAGGTTTATGTGAAGTGGAAGATGTGTGTCAGGTTTATATAGCATACCAAAGGTGGATGTGAAGTGTAAGATGTGTGTCAGGTTTACATAGCATACTAAAGGTTTATGTGAAGTGTAAGATGTGTGTCAGGTTTACATAGCATACCAAAGGTTTATGTGTAGTGTAAAATGTGTGTCGGGTTTACAAAGCATTCCAAAGGTTTGTGTGAAGTGCAAGATGTGTGTCAGGTTTACATAGCATTCCAAAAGTGGATGTGAAGTGTAAGATGTGTGTCAGGTTTACATAGCATTCCAAAGGTTTATGTGAAGTGTGAAATGTGTGTCAGGTTTACATAGCATCCCAAAGGTTCATGTGTGTAA